TTATTGCTCCATTATAAACATTTTTTATTAAAACCATTCAACACTTAGTTTCTGAGTTATAACCAATAAAACATTCAATTACTTTAATCACTTTATTATTTATGATTTTCGAAAGTTAATCAACAAAATTAAACTTCAACGCAATTATCAAGAATATTTTGAAGGGCGTCTTCGAAATAATCGTACGATAAGTTGCAAATATTATTTTTGGAATTTCCCATTGCTAAATCAACATTGGCATTACCCGAATTGGAAACAATACAACTCCTATAAACAAATCACCTTGTATTAATAAGAAATTTCTTTTCAAAATCAACTTACGATTTGTTACAATCAACCGTAATTTGCTTCATCTTGCAGTTGGCCGCGTCACCATCCGCGAAAGTAGCTATCACATTTATGGTGATATCAAGATCAACGATGGTAATAACGCAAGATCCAACACCGATTTGAATCAAACCTAAAAGTTTTACGATGATCTCCGCGTTTAAGTTCAAATCGATGCCAACAGCAACTCCGATGCTGATTGACGCGGTTACAACTCCACCGGAAGATGTTTCGTTGTAAGATAATTCCGTACCAAGTCTGACCAAAGCAGCGATTGGAGAAAAATCAACTTCAATGGAAACTTCGATAACAACCATTCCGAGCTAAATTTAAAATTAATTTATTTTTAAATAAATTGTATTTGAAGTGATCTTACCAAGTTAATGTTGCTTTGGATAATAATATCGGGAAGTAGAATTATGGGACCTGATTCGAGACAAGCAGCGATCTTGTTTTTGCATGTTTCAGTGGCTGGATGAGTTGCGCTTGATGCAGCGATCAAACCAAAAAGTACCAAAAGATATTTCATTTTCGATGTTTTATTTAATCCGGTTTGCGATAAATTTATCTCCTTATATACTCGATTGATTTCGGGCTTTTAATTTCACGTTGTAAAATTTAATTTTTATTTTCCTAATTTAATGATTAATTCGTCTGGATAAACACAATTAACATTTTTGAATGTCTGATTTTAAGCGAAAATTATCTACAACATCAAAACAAATGGCTTTTGTAATGCTAATACGGTGAAATTCCGAAAAAAACAACATTTTTTAATTCAAGATGGCGTTTATACCCCCTAGCGGTCGTCTTAAAAACCTGAAAATAATTTCCAGGATTTTCTCTTAGCCATTTTAGTCGTATAAATTTTTTACCGCAAGTCCTTAAAATAAATAGTTTCCGAAATATAATACTTTGCACACTTATTAGGCCACCCTGTATATATATATATATATATATATATATATATATTTCCTTATATATATATATATATATATGTTTATTCCTGCATGACCTACTAGCCCTAAAACCACTTTGTTGGTCTTTGTTGGTCAATCGCTCCATTCATTTTCCACCCATCTTTTTAATACAAGCTATAAGGCTTTAATATACTAATTAACCATTTTGATTCACACCAATCAACTTTTTCCTTATTCTAGAGGTATTAGAAATTCTGGAAAACATCCCTTTTAGTGTTATTAACGCTTTTGTCCTGTGTCAAATAGCTTCAAAGTGTTTCCAATCGACTAGTACCATTTTGACACACACCAAGAAGCTTTTTCCATTTTTGACATTTTTTAAACACTTCCAGGAAACGTCAAAAACATCTTTTTTAATTTTTTTGGTCAAGTTAAGTACTCTAAAGTTGGCTTTAATAAAACAAAACCGTTTTGATTGACACTAGTCAATACATCGCGTATTCTAAAATCTTTGAAATTTCTCTAAAACATCGCCTTTGCCGTTATTAACGTTGTTAGTCTTTGTCAAATAGTATCTAAATGTTTCCAGTTGATTAGTATCACTTTGAAACACACCAAAAAGCTTTCTCCTGCTTCTTAGCTTCTCTATATCTTCTTGAATATTTGAAATATTTTCAAAAATCATCAAAATCATTTTTTTGTCTAATTTTTTCTTCGTCTTTAAGTATACTGGAGATGTTTTTAGCCTTTGTCATATAGCCTCTTGGTGTTTAGAATCGATTAGTACCATTTTGACACACTCCAAAAAGCTTTCTCCTGCTTCTTAGCTTCTATATCTTCTTGAATATTTAAAAAAATTTCAAAAATCATCAAAATCATTTTTCTGTAATTATTTCTTCGTCATTCAGTATTCTAAAGACGTTTTTATACAATTACAACAATTTTGATTTACACTAATCAGCTTTTTTTGTACTTTGATGTCATTGAATATTCTGGAAAACATCCTTTTTGGCGTTATTAATGTTATTAGCCATTGTCATATAACCTCTTGGTGTTTAGAATTGATTTGTACCATTTTGACACACAGCAAAAAGCTTTCTTATGCTTCTAAGCTTCTCTATATCTTCTTGGATATTCGAAAAATTTTCAAAAATCATCAAAATCATTTTTTTTGTAATTCTTTCTTCGTCGCTCAGCATTCTAAAGGCGTTTTTAGTCAATTACAACAAATTTTAATTTACACCAATCAGCTTTTTCCATACTTTAATGTTATTGAATATTCTGGAAAACATCCTCTTTAACGTTATTAATGTTTTTAACTTTTGTCACATAGCCTCTTTGTGTTTAGAATCGATTAGTATCATTTTGACACACACCAAAAAGCTTTCTTCTGCTTCTAAGCTTCTCTATATCTTCTGGAATATTTGAAATATTTTCAAAAATCATCAAAATCATTTTTTTTTCTAATTCTTTCTTCGTCTTTAAGTATACTGGAGATGTTTTTAGCCTTTGTCATATAGCCTCTTGGTGTTTACAATCGATTAGTACCATTTTGACACACACCAAAAAGTTTTCTCATGCTTCTAAGCTTCTCTATATCTTCTTGAATATTTGAAAACTTTTCAAAAATCATCAAAATCATTTTTTTGTAATTCTTTCTTCGTCGTTCAGTATTCAAAAGACGTTTTTAGTCAATTACAACAATTTTAATTTACACCAATCAGCTTTTTTCATACTTTAATGTCATTGAATTCATTCTGGAAAACATCCTCTTTAACGTTATTAATGTTTTTAGCCTTTGTCATATAGCCTCTTGGTGTTTAGAATCGATTAGTACCATTTCGACCCACACCAAAACGCTTTCTCATGCTTCTAAGCTTCTCTATATCTTCTTGAATATTTCAAAAATTTTAAAAAGTGTTCAGAATCTTTTTTTTCTAATTCTTTCTTCGTCGCTTGCTATACTGGAGATGTTTTTAGTCGATTACAACAATTTTGATTCACACCAATCAGCTTTTTTCATACTTTAAAATCATTGAATATTCATTGCAGTCATTGCATTTTCTGGAAAACATCCTCTTTAACGTTTTCTATGTGTTTTGCCTTTATTAAATATACTCAAAGTATTACAAAGATTATTTCTTTAAAACTTGTTTATTATTGGATTTTGTGGCAGATTGTAGTACTGCTAGTACTGTTGATAGCAACAGTTTAGACATTTCAAAATATATAAAGGTATAAGGAATGATATCAAAAAATTCCACAATGATGTAAATTTATTAGAGGATATGTAGAACAATTGTTTCGCTTTATTAGAGCGTCTTCAGGTACAACGTCAAATCAACGAGAAATGATCAAAGGATCGTAACAGTTATGTTACGTTGTTTTTTATCAATTTTCGTTTCTCAATCTTTTTCCACATGATGCATAACTGTTACGATTCTTTGATCATTTCTCGTTGATTTGACGTTGTACCTGAAGACGCTCTAATAAAGCGAAACAATTGTTGTACATATCCTCTAATAAATTTACATCATTGTGGAATTTTTTGATATCATTCCTTATAATCATCACACAATGAACATGGAGTGTCTCATCGCTAAATATAACGGTATGTCGAGAGTACAAGAATTGAAAATTGCTGATCATCCGCTGCAAGTACAGTGTTGCCATACTATGATGGACAAATGTACTATTGATGCAGAGTTTTTAGAAAAAAGTACTTTTTACAGATAACCATTAATTTGAGAAATGCTGAAGAATAATTGTACTGCAGAAAATCTAGATTTTATGCTACATTGACTATCTTTTTAATTTAGAGGTAACAAAGGTTTTTTTTGAGGTTTGCACTTATACTGGTTAGTAAAAAATTTTGTATTAAATATAATACGTCTCTTTATTTATATGCTTCGCCTGTCCTAGCAGGCATCTTCAGAATAAAGAGTAAGGTACAAGTTGATAATAAAATTTTGAACAGCGGAAACTATTATATTGTTGAACTAATGGCAAAATTCTGTTTAAAAATCACAAATGGACAATTTTTGGAGATAAAACATTCTTTACAATCTTCTAGGACAGGCGAAACATGTAAATAAAGAGACGTATTATATTTAACACGTTAACGACCATGTGCACCATATTGGTGCGCACTCTGATTTCTGGGGAGACCGCGTGACCCTATTTGGACACAGGAAAATGTAATGTTTCAACTCGTGTGGGCCTAACAGGGACGCAGCTATAGTGTTTAATTATACGGTGTTTGGTAGATCTGGTACCTGGGAAATACAAGATAGCCTTGGGTTGGAAAAATCATTTGTGGTTTTTTTATTTATTACAGCGTTTAAAAAAAGGCATTATTCTTCTTATAATACCTTGATAATGAGGATAATCCTCGTAATTTTATAATTTTTTCAAATAAAACAGGATTCAACACTATTTTTTATCCTCCTTATGCTTTTAGAGGATAAAAAATAGTGTTGAAGCCTGTTTTATTTGAAAAAAACTATAAAAAGTCATTATTGTTAATTTAATAAGTTTAATATAATTTTATAAGAATGGAATATTATTGAATTGGTCATTGAATTTTTAACGTCAAATGCAGTCAAATCTGCAAATGTGCCGTCAACAACAAACGTCAAATTTTAGGTTAGAATTCATTTTATTGTTGTTGTAGGCTACTGTACTGCTTTCTTCTATAGTGATTATATGTGATTTATTAAGTGTTTTGGTTGTGTGTATCTGTATAATAGAAATATGACGCGCAAAGAACTATCTGATGAAGAACTTCGACGAATATTGGAAGAGAGCGACTTTGAATGTAGTGAAATCGAAAGCACATACGATGATTCAGATGCAGACCGCACATTCAAAGTAGACGAAGGTTCGAACTCTGAGTCTAGTACAACTAGTAATGACATTATTTTGCCAAGTAAAAAAAGAAAAATAGAACCTACACCTGGGCCTAGTAATAGGCCTAATTCACCTGGAAAAGATTCAAGTGACGATTCTGTTGTTGCTCCAAGAAGTAATTATGTAGTGTGGAGTGAAGTTTGTGTATCTGATAAACTCAATAAATTTGTATATTCTGGAAGACCCGGATTTCGACAAGAAAAAATCAATCACCAAAACCCTGTTGATTTTTTCCTCTTATTTTTCGACAAAGAAGTTCAAGATTTACTAGTTACGGAAACAAACAGATACGCCGAACAACAGATACTAAATGGTATATGTGAAGAGACAGTCAGTGAACACTCCATTGTGTCTAAGTGGTATGATACAGATGCACATGAACTTATGCGTTTTTTTGGCATTATTATTTGGATGGGACTTGATCAAAAACCTACGCTTCGAGATTATTGGAGTAAAAAGGTCCTTTATAAAAGCGAAGTTGCAAAGTTGGGTCGCATGAGTAGAAATCGATTTGAGGCATTGTTACATTTCCTACACATTTCTGATAATGAAAATTGCCCATCAGGTGACAGATTATATAAGATTTCTCCACTTGTACAGATGTTAAATAGAAAATTTCAACATCTTTGCAATCCAAAGGACAAGATATGCATCGATGAGACAATGGTTCCATTTCGGGGCAGGTTAAGCTTCCTCCAGTACATTCCAGGCAAAAGACACAAGTACGGTGTCAAACTTTTTAAACTTTGTGTTGATGGAGGCTATACTTATTCAGTTAAAATATATGGCGGTGGTGGTGGTATAAAAACCTCTGATAAGCCATTGGCTACAAGAGTAGTCATGGAACTGATGGAACCTCTTCTCAATACGGGAAGAACCCTTTATACTGACAACTTCTATACAAGTGTTGGTCTAGCACATGAACTGAATGATAACCAAACACATTTGGTTGGTACTTTGCGTCAAAACCGAAAACTTAATCCGAAGGCAGTCACAAGTGCCAAATTGAAAAAGGGCGAAATAAAGATGCAACAAAGCAACACAAAAGTTGTAGTAGCAAAATGGAAAGATAAGCGCGATGTTCTATTTCTGACAACGAGAGCTGTCCCAGAAATGGTTGAAGTTCCAACGAAAAGAGGCTCTGTTCTAAAACCATCAACCATAGTGGAATATAATACAGCTAAAGGCTTTATTGATATTTCAGATCAAAAAGCTTCCTATAGTTCTCCAGTACGCCGAGGGATCAAATGGTACCGGAAAATTGTAGTTGAACTATTGACAAACACTGTTCTAGTTAATGCCATGGTCGTGTTCAAAGAAGTAACTGGAAAGAACATGAGTATCACAGAATTTCGCGAAAATATCGTTTGTGCCTTATTGGCTGTGGAAAACCAACCCAAAACTGAAAATCAAGTGCAACACTCTATAGAAAATAAAAAAACTCGGGGCAGGTGTTCAGCTTGCTATAAAAAGTACTCAGAAAGAGAAGGGCGTCATTCGGCGATGAAAAATGCCAAAAAAGTTTATTCTTTTTGCCGTGCATGCTCTGAAAATGCGACGTATATGTGTGTAAGTTGTTTTTTTGAGCGCCATACTTCGTTCGTTAATTAAATAATAATGTTACGTATTTATATTTTTTTGTATACTGAAAATGTTATTTTACATTCATAATGGAATATGTTGTTTTATTTTTAACTAAAATGTAGAATAAATGATTTTGGTCGAGACCCACTATGGTACACATGGTCTATGGTAAACTTAACATATATTTCTTTTTAATCAGACTGCGTGTACCAATTTGGTGCACATGTTTTTTTTATTGAAAACTCTTTCCAAACAAGTTATTGTCCAAAGAAAAAATATTATTGTACTTCCTTGTGCTAGCATTCAACAAAAAACTACTCCGGTCCAGACGTAAATTTACAAAATTTAGGACTGGTCGTTAACGTGTTAATACAAGATTTTTTACTAACCAGCAAAAGTGCAAACCTCACAAAAAACCTTTGTTACCTCTAAATTAAAAAAAAACTGGTTAAAAATGGACTACAACATCAACTTCGACTACATGAAATCTTTTTGTGAATAACTCAAAAACGATGCGTCTAATCAAAAATTTGCAAGAATCTAAAATAATTTTAGAATGAAATAGGCTTTTAGAATCAGTTGGAAAATTTAATCTGTTGCGACATAATAAACAAGTTTTAATGAAATAACCTTTGTGACCACCCTGTGTAGCATTGATCCAGAGTTTGCATATTTTCAAAAGTGATCTTAACGAATCATCATCATTCTGACTCTAGTATTTGTGATTAAAATTATGCCACGACAGAAACACCCTGTATTCTATATACAGTATGCANGGAGCTCCAAATTATTCTAATGATTTATGCATAAAGTCCTGGTGTAGGTCTTTTTATAAAGTCTTTAAATTAAAGATGAGGTTACAAATTGTATGGAAAAGAATGTATAGCATTAAAAGTTGATTAAAATTATATGAGATATTCGCGATTGATTTTCTTCAGTGTTCCTCATAATCACTAAGACATTTTTAACCAAGCTTTTCTAAAATTTCTGCAAATTACTAATTGAGCATAATTTCTGATTAATTTAATTGTAATTGCATAATATTTTTCATCAACTATACAACAAATAAGGAAAGAATATTGTATCTTTAAATAATAGAATTTATTTTTGCCATTTTGTATGCTTTAGAAAACAACTCTTTCTTGAATTTTTGCAAATTTTGGGTTGATCAGAATTTTCTTCACCATTTCCAAAGCATTAAATATTGAAATAATGCTTCTGCCATGTCCTAATTATTAACACAACTAATTTTCCTTAAATTGTTGCAAATTTTAGAGTTCCTGATCAATTTAGTTTTCCAAAACATCAAACATTGGAAAAAATACTTCTGCCATGTTCTATTTACTTGGACAAACAGTTTTTCTTGAATGTATGCAAATTTTGGTTGTGACTTATTGTCTTGAACATTCTGTATTTCTTAAGCGTTGGCAAACAGCTCACCTATTCTTGTTTATATTATCATGATTCTGAGAAAATAATTGCTATAAAGTTTCTGCAGTATCTTTATCCTTCATCTTTTGGATTTAGCTTAGATACACAGGATTTTATTTATCATCTTCATGATCGTTGTTGGACATTTGTATTTCACGATTCATTCCATTTTGTCATATTTCAAATAGATCCAACCCAAGCCAACATCTTCAAAACCCTTGAAAACAAATTTTATTTAATTCTATCAACCTCATTAATATTCTAGAGGTGTTTCTAATTGATTCGCGCTATTATAACATTCATCAACAAGCTTTTTCTATTTTTTAGTGTGTTTGAAACACTCTCAAAAATCACCTAAACCAATTTTATCTAATTCTAGCATCCGTATTAAGTATTCTAGAGACATTTTTAATAGATAACACCGTTTTGACATTCATTAACAAGCTTTTTCTATTTTTTAGTATGAACCCAAAACTTTCAAAGACTACCATGCTGGGTCCGTATTCTGTGCAATGAGTTTTGGGTAATACATGGGATCTGATTGTTCTGCTTTGTTATCTATTTTTACTGTCAAGCGTTAGTTAGGCTGTATTCTTCATCTGTGACAGTACCTACTTTTAGTTTTGGTTAGTGGGTTTCTGGATCGGAGGCAAGTGTGGCGTCCTCAATTTCCACACGTATTTTGGTGGAAATATTGCTCGAAATATTGGTATATATTGCGAAATATTGGTATATATCGCGAAATATTGGTAGAAAGATCGTGTATAGATATTTTACCTTACAACAAGTAATTGAGAACACATCTTGTGCTAATCGTTCTGAAGAAAGCATGCAATATGCTATCCTTAGAAAAGATATTTTAAATTTTGACAAAGAAAGGCAGTAATCCTGAAAGTAAAATTGTAAAAGACAGTAAAATTGAGAAACCATTCTCAGGGGATTAATTTGTCGGTAACCACTTTGTTCTTGGCAGATGATTATTGCCGGAACGCATTGGTATAAAAAAACGTTTGTGTTTAACACGTTAATACATAAATTATAAACTCATGAGATTTCATGGCACTCAAGAATTTGATCTAAAGTGTTTCATGGTTACCTCAATCGCTCTCTATCTGTACCTATTGCTATTATAGAGCAACCCAACCCGAATACTGCAAGAATACAAGCAGAGCAACTCAGTACACTCCACTGGTAGATGGTGTAGACTCCAAGCCCACCCCTCACAGTCCAACCTAACCCTCTCTCCTCATCTAATATATATTGGCCCTCTCTTCATTATCACATCTCAACCTGGCCACCAACCTCTTCCCCTCCACCATCAAGTACTTTGGTATCTCTGCTACTATTCATCTCTTCCGTCACCCTTCTGTAGTATTTCTCCTATTCTCGCTGTCCATAACGACCCTTTCCTACCTCAATCTCTTTATGGCACTCCCCCAAGATTTTCTAGAAAGAGAGAATCTATAGACTTTCTATACCTATAGATTCTTTCCATCCCCATATCTCCACCCCATACATCATAATGCTTTTTATCAAGCTCCGAAACATTATTCTCTCTTTTCCCATATCACTCCCAAATATCCTCTTGCCCCATCCTCAGTCATGTCCCATAACCTTATTCGCTTTCATTACCATCATTCTAATATGCCGGCCACCCTTGTTGCTCTATTTAAATCTGTAGCACAAGTAGGTTACTCTTTTCTACACTCTTTACAAAATTTCACTCTAAATTCTTCCCTCTAAAATACCTTTCCAGAGACCGCATCATTGCCCTCATATCACCCACCTCCCTTGCGATGACTACCAAGTCGTCAGGGCTGGATTAAGCGGACATCTCTGCCTGCTGGACCTTAGAGTTTAGAAAGAGCTTCCCTTCTTTTCGATCCATCTCTCTGTCCACCAGGTGTTTCAATATATACATGTTGTTTATCGCTCCTCTTCCCTTTCTAAACCCTGCCTGATCATCTGGCAGGAGTTACATATCCTCTATCTCTCTCTCTAGCCTCGCGAGCAATACCTTCGCGTATATCTTGTACGTTATATTCACTAAGCTGATACCTCTATAACTCTCCACTATCCCTTTCCTCCCCTTTTTGTACAAGGGACTTATTATCGCCGTCCTCCACAACCTCTCCCTCATCTCCACCGTTGCTTCCAACCATGCCTCGTTCTCGCCCATATCTTCTCCAGATGCCTTTACCTTCTTCAATCCCCCCAGTACTGCCTCCATCTTTTGTTGACCCACGAAGGATTGATGTAGCGCCTCGACCGCAAGCGACCTTGTCTTATATTCTTAGTTATTTCTTACCTCGCTTTATATTTTTGCTACTGCAAAGTTGCTACATAGGAAGCTATTAAAGACAAAAAATGATCTAATTAATGCCTCGGCGTTGAGTGACCTCGGCTTGTATTCTTGGTTGTTATGAAATATTTAAGGCGAGGTAGCTTGCGGCCGAGACGCTACAATGATGACCCTTAAATACAAAGCGCGGCTGATGTAGCGCCTCAGACAATAAGACAATTAGACAATAAATTGAAAAAGACCAGAAAAAGTATTGCTTTTTATTGAATTTATATTATATTTTATATTTTAGTATTAAAATTTATTTTGGGGCTACAAATTTCGGAATAACTTATTCCTTCAATTGCCTCAACACATTCTCTATTTCTAACTGTTAGGATTATAGATCAACCTAACCCATTAACAAGAATACAATCAGAGGTCGCTTTCGACCGAGGCGCTATGAGAATAACTCCTAAACACAAAGCACGATTTATATAACACCTCGACCCAAGCGACCTCAGCTTATAGTTTTGTAGCTACCAAGTTGCTATAATGAATAATGTTAAAGACGACGAATGATGGAGTTGAGGCCTTGGCTTATATTCTTGGTTGTTATAAAACATTTAAGCCAAGGTCGCTTACGGCCGAGGTGATGATGATCTTTAAACTCAGTGTGATTGATGTAGCGATTATGTTTTAATTTTATGTAGACATCTATGTAACACATTTCAGGTCTATGTACTGGATATATAAGCTTACAAGAATACAAGACGAAACAGATACAGAAAGAAAACGGTAAACACCTAGAGTTCGATTTACTTTTTAAATCGCGGTCCATATATCATGACAGGAAATTTTGGCAGATATTTTTAATAAATTCTTGATATACAAAGTATAGGATGTAGATATAGGTCTTTAATCCAATAAAAAGAACAAGTAACACTTCGTTTAGACAGAGTATATCAGGAACTCACCGAAAAACTGACTTACATGAATTTCCATAAATTATTTAAATTTTTTTTTTTTAGATTTATTTATATTACAGTTTATGCAAACAAACAATTTATTCAAAAACAAAAAACCTTGACCATTACACTTTACTTTTATGACTTTAATTTTTTTACGACCAATTTATGATTTATTAATTTTAAAATTATCTTAATCTTAATCCATAAAAATTGATTAAGAGTTTATAATCGTAATTTGTTTATTTGTTTTTTGAACGGCCTCTTTTGAATGGTTTCTCAACTCAAATGTCACGTTATATTTGGTTACGTACTTCGTCTTATCTTTTTCTCATTTCATTTTTTTTGTTAACAACTTAATGTCACCGTAGTAAATTTATCACACATAGATTTAACTGTACAACAAAAGGAAACATATCTTAGGTAGTGGTTTTTCTTGTTTAAAAAGATAGCTGTTTAAATGTTTTTCTTTAATGGTTTAAACCGTATTTTTTTACTTAAATTGTTTCATTCCAGTTATTTCGTTGAATTAAAATGTATTAAATCGGTAGGAATTTTCAAGTTTCTTGTGTAAACTACCTATTTATCTTGCAATTTTCTTATCAGCGATTAAGATAAGGATGGAATTAATTTCATAATTTTTTTCTTAACTTCAAAAACATATTAAGTAATTTTTTCATGATCTATTTCTTTTTTGAATATAATAATTTAGTAATCATTTTCGTATGGATTGCGACGACGTCACTCGGCGTCGCGACGCCCCACCACTACCGTTTCAATACAGCTGCACAAATTCGAGCGTCGTCACTCGTCAGTAGCAAGCAAAACGCGTTATCGTGAGGTTTCTTCGTTAAATAGTATATGAAAAAACATTTTTGTGCCGGTTCGATGTTTCCTCGGTTTTAATTTTTTCTTACAGTAAAATTGTTTCTAATATCGATCCATGAAACGATGACTTGTAACCTTTATAGTGATTAAAATTAACACTTTTGAATTAATTATTGGTGTCGTTGGAAAAAGGCGAAAACATGGATGAATTTTATGATTTTCGACACGAACTTCGCAATTTACCATGGGTTAGTTCTTTTTGGCTTATTTTTTTAGGAACCATTTTTACGTAATATTACGTTACTATTCTGGGTTGGAAGTTACACCCCTTTTCCTTCAAATCGATTTTCTCTCGTTCACAACTTCATTTAAGATAAATTTTTGTAATACTTAGATTAAATTTGTGATATTGATTTTACCCAAATTTTGGTTTTTAATATTTTTTTTTTTATTTTTTACCAAGAAAAGTCAATAACCTACACTTCTATGAATGGTAGAAGAAACCGATCTTAAAATATTTTAAGATCAACTGAGGATCGTTTCAAAAATAGAATATTTATATGTATAATACTAAACACAGATGTTTTAAAACAAAGGATTTATTTTTCGCGATTTCTTTTTGAGAATTAGCTTACATAAATTATATAATGAGATCTTTCTTATCAACGATATTGTTGTTTTTATTATCTGATAACAAAAATTACACCTTATTGGATTATTTATCTTACGTATCTGCTGTTTTTATTTAGAACACTAAACTTGAATTCCTTGAAACTCGTCGTAAATTTATTTAAAGCCTTGTTTTAACGATTACTAATGTTAAACAACTTAATTGCAATTGCATACAATCCAAAATTGTCCAAGTAGAACTAGTTCAATCTCAAACAAGCTATGTACATGTAGCTGTTATTAAATTATAAAAATACAGTTTTATTTTGGCAAAGATTTTGGCATGAATCTTTAAGGTTCTAAACTGTTTTTGGTTTTCATTCGTGACATTGAAAAACATTTAATTAAGTCTACGCGATTAGGAAATTTTTGAAAATTATAAATTAGACGTTCTTTTATGTCAAGGATAACGTTGTTTTCACACATTCATTTCACATTTTCCTTCTCGTTGACCAAGAATCATGACGTTTGGGAATAAATATTCATGATTCTCGGGCGATTTTGGCTGGTTACGTCATCTATTCTTGGTTTATTTTATAGACATGAGAAATAGAAGTGGGCGAACAAGTGTTTTTACTAGTTTTGTTATTAACAACTCTATTCATTCAGTATTCATTATGGTTTGAGTTGTTCTAGAAAACTTGCATTCGTGGATTTTATTGAGTGTTATAAATCAATAGTAATAAAACTATGGGTTACTCAGATTTCTTTCTGAGTAATCGTTTTATGTGAAATGAATCGTTTTGTAATCATTTTTGGAATGAAGAAATAAATTTTACGAAAAGAATAATTAAAATTTTTTAGATTTGATAGTTCGTAACATAATTTTTGAGTGACTAATTGTATAATTCTTTATAACCACGAGTAATTAGTATCATGAATGAAATCGCAAGACACGAACCGGTGCTTACCCAACATTTACATCGTGGATCTGTTTTTTTATTATCGATCATGTCGACTGTATTTTTAAGAATCTTGATATGATTGATGATCTTGAGATGATATGTATCTCAAATTGAAGCTTAAAGATGCTAGTTTATGTTATGATATAAAAATTATAAGGTAATATTACTGAAATTTCCAGGAAAAAATTATTAAAGAAGACATTGTCAAATTATAAATTAAAAATAATACGAAATTTACAAAAAATCATATCGACTGTATTTTTAGAAATCATAATATGATATGTATGTTAAATTGAAGCTTAAAGGTTCTAGTTTATGATATGATGCAAAAACTATAAGATAATATTATTGATATTTCCAGGAACACATTATTAAAGAGGAAATAGTTGAATTTGTAAATCAAAAATAACGCGAAATTTTCAAAAAAACTTATCGACTGTATTTTTAGGAACCATAATATGATATATATGTTAAATTGAAGCTTAAAGGTTTTAGTTTATGATATGATGTAAAAACTATACGATAATATTATTGAAGTTTCCAGGAAAAAATTGTTAAAGACGGAATTGTCAAATTTTTACATCAAACTAAATACAAAATTTTCAAAAAATCATATCGACTGTATTTTTAGGAATCATAATATGATATATATGTTAAATTGAAGCTTAAACGTTCTAGTTTATGATATGTTGCAAAACCGATAAGATAATATTAATGAAATTTCCAGGAAGAGATTATTAAAGAGGAAATAGTTGAATTTGCAAATCAAAAATAACGCGAAATTTTCAAAAAAACCTATCGACTGTATTTTTAGGAATCATAATATGATATATATGTTAAATTAAAGCTGAATGGTTTTAGTTTATGATATGATGCAAAAATTATACGATAATATTATTGAAATTTCCAGGAAAAAATTGTTAAAGAAGGAATTGTCAAATTTCTACATCAAACAAAATACAAAATTTTCAAAAAATCATATCGACTGTATTTTTAAGAATTATAATATGATATATATGTTAAATTGAAGTTTAAACGTTCTAGTTTATGATATGATGCAAAATCTATAAGATAATATTATTGAAATTTCCAGGAACACATTATTAAAGAGGAAATAGTTGAATTTGTAAATCAAAAATAACGCGAAATTTTCAAAAAAAAACCTATCGACTGTATTTTAAGGGATCATAATATGATATATATGTTAAATTAAAGCTGAAAGGTTTTAGTTTATGATATGATATCAACACTATATGATTATGTTATTGAAATTTCCTGGAAAAAATTATTAAAGACAAAATAGTCAAATTTGTAAATCAAAAATAACGCGAAATATTCAAAAAATCATATGAACTGCACTTTTAAAAATCATAATATGATATATATGTTAAATTGAAGCTTGAAAGTTCTACTTTATGATATGATGCAAAAACTATTTGATAATATTATTGAAATTTCCAGGAAAAAATTATTAAAGAAGGAATTGTCATAATTTTATATCAAACAAAATACGAAAATTTCAAAAAAAACTGTATTTTTAGGAATCATGATATGGTATATATGTTAAATTGAAACTTAAAGATTCTAGTTTATGATATGATGCAAAAACTATACGATAATATTATTGACGTTTCCAGGAAAAAATTGTTAAAGAAGGAATTGTCAAAATTTTACATCAAAGAAAATACGAAAATTTCAAAAAATCATATCGACTGTATTTTTAAGAATCTTGATATGATATGTATGTTAAATTGTAGCTTAAAGGTTCTAGTTTATAATATGATATCAAAATTATATGATAATATTATTGAAATTTCCAGGAAAAGATTAGTAAATACTAATTAGTCAATTTTTGAAATCAAAAATAACGCGAAATTTTCAAAAAATCATATCAACTGTATTTTTAGGAATCATAGTATGATATATATGTTAAATTGAAACTTAAAGGTTCTAGTTTATGATATGATGCAAAAACTATAAGATAATATTATTGATATTTCCAGGAACACATTATTAAAGAGGAAATAGTTGAATTTGTAAATCAAAAATAACGCGAAATTTTCAAAAAAACCTATCGACTGTATTTTTAGGAATCATAATATGATATATATGTTAAATTAAAGCTGAAAGGTTTTAGTTTATGATATGATGCAAAAATTATACGATAATATTATTGAAATTTCCAGGAAAAAATTGTTAAAGAAGGAATTGTCAAATTTTTACATCAAACAAAATACAAAATTTTCAAAAAATCATATCGACTGTAGTTTTAGGAGTCATAATATGATATATATGTTAAATTGAAGCTTAAACGTTCTAGTTTATGATATGATGCAAAGTCTATAAGATAATATTATTGAAATTTCCAGGAACACATTATTAAAGAGGAAGTAGTTGAATTTGTAAATCAAGAATAACCCGAAATTTTCAAAAAAACCTATCGACTGTATTTTTAGGAACCATAATATGATATATATGTTAAATTGAAGCTTAAAGGTTTTAGTTTATGATATGATGCAAAAACTATACGATAATATTATTGAAATTTCCAGGAAAAAATTGTTAAAGAAGGAATTGTCTAATTTATAAATCAAAAATAACGCGAAATTTTCAAAAAATCATATCGACTGTACTTTTAGGAATCATAGTATGATTTGTATGTTAAATTGAAGCTTAAAGGTTCTAGTTTATAATATGATATCAAAACTATATGACAATACTATTGAAATTTCCAGGAAAAAACTGTTAAAGAAGGAATTGTCAAACTTTTACTGGAAATATCGACTGTATTTTTGGGAATCTTGATATAATATGTATGTTAATTGTAGCTTAAAGAGTCTAGTTTATAATATGATATCAAAACCGTATGATAATATTATTAAAATTTCCAGGAAAAAATTATTAAAGACAAAATAGTCAAATTTGTAAATCAAAAATAACGCGAAATATGCAAAAAATCATATGAACTGCACTTTTAAAAATCATAATATGATATATATGTTAAATTGAAGCTTAAAGATTCTAGTTTATGATATGATGCAAAAACTATACGATAATATTATTGACGTTTCCAGGAAAAAATTGTTAAAGAAGGAATTGTCAAAATTTTACATCAAAGAAAATACGAAAATTTCAAAAAATCATATCAACTGTATTTTTAGGAATCATAGTATGATATATATGTTAAATTGTAGCTTAAAGGTTCTAGTTTATAATATGATATCAAAATTATATGATAATTTATTGAAATTTCCAGGAAAAGATTATTAAATACTAATTAGTCAATTTTTGAAATCAAAAATAACGCGAAATTTTCAAAAAATCATATCAACTGTATTTTTAGGATTCATAGTATGATATATATGTTAAATTGAAGCTTAAAGGTTCTAGTTTATGATATGATGCAAAACCTATAAGATAATATTATTGAAATTTCCAGGAAAAAATTATTAAAGAAGGAATTAACAAATTTTTACATCAAAGGAAATACGAAATTTTCAAAAAATCATATCGACTGTATTTTTAAGAATTTTGATATGATATGTATGTTAATTGTATCTTAAAGGGTCTAGTTTATAATATGATATCAAAACCGTATGATATTATTGAAATTTTCACGAAAAGATTATTAAAGACGAAACAGTCAAATTTGTAAATCAAAAATAACGTGAAATTTTCTAAAAATCATATTGACTGTATTTTTAGGAATATTAATATGATATATATGTTAAATTAAAGCTTATACGTTCTAGTTTATGATATGATGCAAAGACTATACGATAATATTATTGAGATTTCCAGGAAAAAGTTGTTAAAGAAGGAATTGTCAAAATTTTACATCAAGGAAAATACGAAATTTTCAAAAAAACATATAGACTGTATTTTTAAGAATTTTGATATGATATGTATGTTAAATTGTAGCTTAAAGATTTTAGTTTATGGTATGATATCAAAACTCTATGATAATATTATTGAAATTTCTAGGAAAAGGTAATTAAAGACGAAATAGTCAAATTTGTAAATCAAAAATAACGCGATTTTCAAAAAATCATATCGACTGTATTGTTAGGGATCATAATATGATATATATGTTAAATTGAAGCTTAAAGATTCTAGTTCATGATATGATGCAAAAACTATGAGATAATATTATTGAGGTTTCCAGGAAAAAGTTGTTAAAGAAGGCAGTGTCAAATTTCTACATCAAGAAAAATACGAAATTTTCAAGAAATCATAACGACTGTATCTTTAAGAGTCTTGATATGATATATATGTCAAATTGTAGCTTAAAGGCTTTAGTTTATGGTATGATATCAATACTATATGATAATATTATTGGTATTTCCAGGAAAAGGTTATTAAAGACGAAATATTCAAATTTGTGAATCAAAAAGAACGCGAAATTTTCAAAAAATCATATCGACTGTATTTTTAAGAATATTGATATGATATGTATGTTTAATTGTAACTTAAAGATTCTAGTTTATTATATGATTTCAAAATTATATGATAATATTATTAAAATTTTCAGGAAAAGATTATTAAAGACGAAATAGTCAAATTTGCAAGTCAAATATAATGCGAAATTTTCAAAAAATCATATGGACTATACTTTTAGGAATCATAATATGATATACATGTTAAATTGAAGCTTAAAGGTTCTAGTTTATGATATGATGCAGGAACTATAAGAAAACATTATTGAAGTTTTCTTAAAAAAAAATTTCGTAAAAATTGAAATTGTTAAAGAAGGAATTGTCAAATTTTTACTTCAAAGAAAATACGAAAATTTCAAAAAATCATTTCGACTGTATTTTTAAGAATCTTGATATGATATGTATGTTAAATTGTAATTCAAAGGTTCTAGTTTATAATATGATATCAAAATTATATCATAATATTATTGAAATTTCCAGGAAAAGATTATTAATGACGAAATAGTCAAATTTGTGAATCAAAAATACCGCGAAATTTTCAAAAAAATTATATCGACTGTATTTTTAGGAATCATAATATGATATATATGTAAAATTGAAGCTTAAAGGTTTTTTGTTGCCGTTTGGATTGTTCGTCTTTCCAGCCGGAATCGCAACCTTTTTGACATTTAATAGCACTACAATAGTCTGCTGTCTCTTTTTCTGGACAACTTCCAATGTGCTAGCAAGATTTATTGTACTTCTGCTCTACGTTCCGAAAATTCAAATTCATGCTCCGAAAGCTTCTTTTATAGTAGTTCTAATTTATTTCCTTAATTTTCAATAACTCGCGCAGTAGACTTGCTAGATAAGTTTCCTTTTCTTAGGTTGTGATAAATTTTTCCATTTTTCCAATCGCTGTTATCCATGAAATTTGAAATCTTGTAATTGACTTTTTTTCTGAAATTACTTCTTACAAATTGTCTCTATCGCCATCGACACAAATATATAAACGATCACATGCTGAAAATTGATAATTTGATCAATTTCTAAGAATTTAAATTATAAATTTATAAATTCAAAATCTATTTCTGTAACTTTAGGAAGTAAGAGAAAACTTTCAAAACAGTTTTAAAATGTTGAAAACCTTTCAAAGTACTCTTTGTTTGGTTTCTTTTTCTCCTACAGTTCTATTTACGTATCTATACGCGATCTGTGACAGACGCGTTGCGTAAATGTAAAAGAGCTCTGAAAGAGCACCGGTTAAAAATATATTCTAAAATTAAATTTGGACACGTTTTATATGCACCATATATTTCTGGTCATAACAATACAAATTGATTCATACCAAACCATTCTTTTTTTAACTTGTTTATTTATTTTTTCTTTAACAGAGACTGGTGGAGCAAATGGAACCACCTCCATTCAAAACATTCCGTTCCGAGTTCCATATGAGCAGCACAAACGAACATTCTACAACTTACACTTCCACCACGCATTATTCCAAACAGTAAGTCTTATTTTCGATATTTTAATTTTATTTAAATAAAATATTTATCACGTTTAGATATATTCAAACAAAATCGACAAAACGTGACTATGAAACCACGGAAACTGATAATATCACGAACGGGAAATCACCTCCCGATAAATACACAACAACCACACACATTACCCAGGAACCGATCCATAATTATAGTATGCAATTTAGCGAGATTAAATCGTTAAAACGTGTACATAAAGTACATGAAGGTATCGGTACTGATACTATCATAGATAGCCCGGGAATTGTAAATCCTTTTACCGGCGAAACGATGACGGTTCAAGATGCCATAGCATCTCGTATTTTGGATGTAAGAACCGGAAAAATTCTCGCTTCCCCCGATGGTACACAAATAACCATCGAAGAAGCGGTTACAAGAAAATTAATCGACGAGAAAATCGCCCAAAGATTGTATTCGCCTTGCGGTGTACAAGAAGAAGGAAGAAATTTGACTCTTTTAGAAGCGATTCAAAGAGAGATTCAAGGTGCCGAACAAGCTTTTGTTGATCCAACGGAAAAAAGATTAAAGGTAAACCACGCGACGAGTATAGATCAAGCTATTAACGATGGAAAGGTGGATTTAAATACCGGAACGTACAGATTAGAATCCGGCGAATTATTAACGACGAAAGAGGCGTTTGAGAAAGGCTATTTGTACACAACCCACAGGGAGTTTAAATTAAAAACCGGTGCAATTAGTTTATACGATGCAATTAATCAGGGATTGATCGATGAAAGAACCGGTTGGATAGTGGATCGTAATTCCGGTAATAAATATCAAATTGACGCCGCTGTTAGAACGAATTTAATCGACGGCGATATCAGGGAAATTATCGATCCGAAAACTGATACGAAAATCACCGTTATACAAGCTTTAGAAAAAGGAATTATTAATCCCAAACTTGCCAAATACATTTACTCCCACGAAAAATTACAATTTTTAGAAGCAAAACGTCGCCAATTTATCGTAAAACCGATGACATTAAAAGATGTGTGCGATTTAAATCTTATAAACGAAAACGGTTTTATATCATCGCCGTTACATCAAAAATATTTAACTTTATTAGAAGCTATATCCCACGGGGTTATCGATTCAAATTCGGTTAAATCAATTTTAAACGCAAAAACGGGAAAATATGTTACATTAAATGACGCGTTAGCTTTAGGAATAATTCTTCCCGATTCAAAATTCGTTGACACAGTAACCAATGAAGTTATCAGTATTAAGGATGCGGTTAATCGAGGGTATATAGTTTCGGTTGCGCAAAAATCAATTTTTGATATCGACGGGTTTCAACCCCCAGATAAATCTGAGTATATTTCGTTTAATTCGGCGAGTTCTAAAGGTTTTATTAGCGTGAAAGATAACGGCAGTTTAGTTACTAATTTAAAAAGTGGTAAATTAATTTCTTTTAGCGATGGTTCGAAATCGGGGGAGGTTAAACCGGAAGTTTTTGAAATGTTAAATTTGAATATAGGCGTATTTGAAGAGGGACGCGAATTAAGTGTCATTGAAGCCGTTTTTAAGGGGTATATAGACCCGAAAACTGGGAATTTTATAGATATTAAAAAGAATAAAATTGTGCCTTTAAACGATGCTATTGCTCAGAATTTAATTACAGCTGATGGTGCTGCTTTGTTAAATTCTATTTTAACTATTAATGTAACGACGCAAACTACTAGTAAGTTAGTGCAAAGATATGTTACTTTTAGTAGTACAAGTAAAGGTGATTATTCTCAAGGGAGGTTGTCTTATACGGAGGCTTTACAAAGAGGTTATATCGATAATAGGACGCAAACTTATGTTGATCCGGAAAGTAACGAAATTATTCCTTTGGTTCAAGCGATAAATGATGGTAAAATTGTTCCGGATACGGAGAAAGTCCCGAAAAATATTACAGCTTCGATAAAATCGCAAGAATTTATTCAAAACGAACAAAATAGCAGTTACGAAATCCCGCGGGATGGTTGGTTGCTAAAAGAAGCGATTGATAGGCGATTATTTGATCCAATCTCGGGTTTATTCGCAGTTACAGGTACTGATCGTTTGGTGAGCTTCGAAGAATGCATTGAGTTAAAATATATTAATCCAAATTCCGCTTTGGTTGTTGATCCAAAAAGTAAAAGGAAAATCTCGTTAATTCGCGCGCTTGATAAAAAAATTTTGGACGGATTAGGTCGGTATAACTCCCAGTTAAACATGAAAGAAGCTATCTCTAAAAATTTAATTGTTTTCGAGGATTTAAAAATGGATGAATCGACGACATCGATTGTTATTAATAAAAATTGCAATTTTGATGCGGTAAGTTGTAAAATTATCTCGAAAAGTGCTCCACCCCAAAGTGTTTTGGAAGCAATTCAAAATCAAATAATCCCTGAGGAAAGTATTAAAATTCAAGACCCTGAAAATCCGGGGAAATATATTGGGGTAAATGAAGCGATTCATAAAGGAGTAATCAAAGTGGATACACAAGAATATGTCGATAAAAACGGGGGGGTTATTAAAATTGATGATGCAATAAAAAGTGGGGATGTTGTTATTGTTGCGGATCAAGAAAAAATTGGGGAAAAATCAACCATTATTATTAAAGATCCAAAAACTGGAAAAACTTATTCCCCGGAGGACGCTCTTAAAATCGGTTTAATAAAACCAGAAAATCTAAAAGAAATTTCGTTAAAAACCCCAGAAATAAAAACGATGAAACTAGAAAGTATCGATTTAGAAGATGGCCCAACCCCAGCCGAAATAACAAGAAGTAGAGTCACAATCGAACCAACCTACAAAGTCTCAATAGGGCGAGTTCAATCTTTATCACCAGATAGAGACGCAAAAAAAGTCGTCCTACAAAAACTCCGCAAAAAAGTAGTTCGTCCTAAAGACGCGTTACAAAAAGGGCTAGTTGATCCCGCCACAGTTGAACTCCTCCAAAAACCCGCATCATACGGAGACGCAATCAGCCTTCAAGAAGCCGTCGAGCAAGGAATTATCGATGGAGATCAAGGAAAAATAGTCGACCCCCAAAGAGGAGATGTCATCAACATAAACGAAGCAATTTCGAGAGGAATTTTAGACCCATCCGGAACAAACGAGGTTTTAATCCCGCTAAATCGAAGCTTATCAATCCCGGAATTATTCGAACAAGGCTTAATCGATGAGAGTACAGGAAAAATCGTTCACCCAGAAACCGGGGCTCATCTCACTTTACAAGACGCAATCGCCTGCGATATCGTTGACCCGTTAAGCACGATGATTGATCCGCAAGGAAAAACGTTAACTTTAACTCAAGCGATAGAAAAAAATCTCGTTGATGGAACAACCGGATTTGTAAACACTCAACAAGGCCCGATTAATTTAGAAACGGCTGTGATTCAAAAAGTTTTTGACGATTGGGATGGAAAAGAAGGAATTCCAAAAGCAGGGATGACGTTCCAAGTTGCTTTGAGCAGGGGATTAATCGATTTGGATAAGAAAACTTTTACGCATCCAACGAGTGGTGAGAAAATACCGATTGAAGAGGCAGTTGATGCTAATTACATTATGGCTATTCCATACGCGAAGGATAGTGAAGGTGTTAATATTTTGGATGCTTTAAATGAAGGTTTAATTAACGCTGATAATGGGACTTTTAAACTAAAAAATTCCAACGATATCATCCCGGTGTCGGAAGCAATCGAAAGTGGGTTATTAATTATTAAACCGCAACAAAGCTTAGCCCCAATTACAACTGTAACAGAAACTGTAACAGCTGTTCATACTGTAACTACAAAAACGATCGAATTATTATCGGGGTATATTTTAACGAGTTCTAGTGAAATTCAAAATGTCTCAACTGGGGAGATTATATCATTGGAAGAAGCTAAATTAAAAGGGATCGTTGGCGAAATCACCGAGGCTAAAAATATAACAACCTTACGAGACATAAAAATGTCATTTTCTGATGCTGTTAATAAAGGATTAATCGACTTAAAGAATGGGATATTTACGGATCCAAAATCGGGGGAGAAAATATCAATTAAAGATGCCTTAGAAAGCGGAGTTTTAGAAGCAGCCGCTCCGATGCGACCCGATGGATCCAAAACAACCGAATTAGATATATCGGAAGCTTTTGAAACAATTTACGACCAAAAAACCGAAAAATTCATCGACCCAATCGAAGGAAAAGAAATCACGTTTAAAGAAGCCTTACAAAAAGAAATAATCGACCCAAACAGCATAATTTACGACGTTACCTCAAAACAATCGATCACAATCGAACAGGCGGTTCAAAAAGGTTTGATCGACGAAAAAACGGGTAAAGTTAAAGATGAAAAAACCGGAAAAGGAGTTGATTTTAAAAAAGCGGCTAAAATGGGACTTGTTGCTATCGTTGGTGGGTTAGCAGCTCCGGTTATAGCCCCAGTTTTAGCGGTGAAAGCGGCTAAAGATTACATCGATAAGAAAAAAAGCGAGATAAAAAAAGAAAATGAAACAACAACGATCGAAAACGCGATAAAACAGAAAAAAATTAACCCAAAAACGTGCAAAATCATTTTAGACGGGAACGAATTTAAAATCCAAGATGGTTTGGGTAAAAAGAAATTGGAACCGAACGATTTAATCGAAATAATCGATAAAAATAAAGCCGTTTTAATCCCATCGCGAAAAGATGATACTCAAAATAAAATCATCCCGCTTAAAGAAGCGTTAAAATATATAAATAATCCTAATTTATTTAAAATTGTTTATAAATCAAAAGTTTTACCTTACAGTTTAGATGAAGCGTTAATTAATAATAAGTTAGATCCTAAAGATGGGGTGATCATTAAAGGTAATATCATCGAAATCGTTCAACCTACACTTAAAACAATCGAAATTTTAAGAATTGATACGGAAATAATTGATACGGAAATAATTAAAACTGAAATTGTTACAACCCAAAAGAAAATTAAAGATGCTATTTTAAATAACGATATCGACCCGGTTGTTTGCAGGATAATTCATGAAAATCAAGAATTTCCTTATACAATTCAAGATGGGTTAATGCAAGGATATATTTCTCCCGATAATTTAATCGGGGTTGTTTCAAGAAATCGGGTTATTTTATTAAATGAAGAGCCGTTGGATATCGCGGAATTCGCCCTACAAAAATTAGAAGATAATCGCGAACAATACGAATTAATCCCGGTACAATCAGCACTTTCAACGGATAAAGTTAATTTGGAAACGTGCGTTGTTATTTTGGACGGTGAGAAATTAAATTATAGCATTAAAGAAGCCCTCGTGCAAAAAATAATTTATCATTACGACGCGTTAAGGGTGATTAATAAAGATTTAGTTGTTGTTGTTGATGAGAAATTACCGAGTTTAATTACAGTTTCGAAGGATTTGACGCCTCAAAAATTGGCGGAAATGGGGTATTATGATTTGCAAAGAAAATGTTTTATTGATCCCCACACAAAAGAGCCACTTTCGTTCTATAAATTATTGTTTTTGTTGAACGCTATTGACCCTGAGACTTTGTACGTTAAAAATTTATCGATTAAAAAGCCGACTTATGTCACAATGGATGAAGCCATAGATATCCCATTACTCGATCGCGAAAAAGGTTATATGGTGGATAGAAGAACGGGAAAACACGTCTCATTTTTTGAAGCTTTAAAAATAAAATGGATCGTGCACAAAAATGATTTACCAAAAGAAAAGCGACAACCTTTAACGTTACAAGAAATCGTCGATACAGAAAACTTTAATCTCAAAACGATTAAAGTTACAAATCCGGAGAATGGAAATGAATTGTCTTTAATCGATTCTTTGAAATATAACGTAGTTGACCCACAATCAGTTACGGTGCGTGATCCTAAAAATATGCAGCTACTCCCTTATTTCGACGCCGTTGATTATCAAATTGTTGATCAAAACCGCGGGGTTTTAGTTAATACAAGTAATAAGAAAGCCATCGATTTCTCAAATGCTTTCTTAAAAGGTTACGTTCTTGGGATCCCCCGAGCTATGTCACTAAAAGGTATTGTGGAACAAAAAGTATTTGACCCCGAAACTGAAGCGATTATTGATCCATTAACGAAACAACAATTAACGATACAAGACGCTTTGAATAGAAACATTTTAGATGGAAATATAACTGAAATTTACGATAACAAAAATAAAACTAAGTTGCCTATTAAAGAAGCTTTAGTTGAGGAGATTATTTTAGGCGATACAGGGAGGGTTTTAAACAGAATTAGTGGGGAATTATTACCATTAATTGAGGCAATCGAAAAAGATTTCGTACAAACAAAACCGTACACAATTTCTTTATTAGACGCGATCCTCCTCGATTATTACCTCCCAAAAACGGGCGAAATTTTCGACCCAAGAACCGGGGCAAAAATAACCCTCCAAAAAGCGATCGAAACCAAATTCATCGACCCAAACAACACCAAAATCAAACAAGACGAAACCGACCAATTCATCCCCTTAACAGAAGCAATCGACAAAAAATTAATCGACGATCAAAAAGGAATCTTAACCAAACCTTCATTAACATTAGATCAAGCTTTAAAAAAAGGCTACATTTTAAGCACTTCCTTACCATGGTCTCTCCAAGACACCTTAGCCCTAAAATTATACAACCCCGAAAACGGAAAACTCGAAATCCTTAATAAATCGATCACTTTAACCGAGGCAATCGAAAATAACACGATTAATCCCGAAATTTTAACCGTAAAACACCCCAAATCCGGCGAAATCATCACATTGGGCGAAGCTATCGCAACGAATTTAATCAACCCCGAAAAAGGGGTGGTACTCGATGATAATAACGAAATTAATTTATACGAAGCTTTGGAACGGGGGATAATCGTCCCGGCTAAATCACAAATAACTCTCCCCGAAGCTATCTTCAAAGGTTATTATAACCCAGAAACCGGAAAATTTGTTAACACCAAAAACAAAGAAAAACTTAAAACCGATTCGGCTATTAATCGCGGATTCTTAGACACCTCATCGACGTTAGTTACGATTGATGAAGATATGGTTACTTTCGATCAAGCGATGATCGACGGGTTCATTGACACGGAAAAAGGGATTTTATTAATCGATAAAAATCGTCCCCCCATCGATTTTAACGAAGCTTTCGAACGCGGATTAATGGTTGAAGTAAGAACACCGATGTCGTTAGTTGAAACATTAGTGAAGGGAATTTACGACGATGAGCGCCAAATGTTTTTAGATCCGCGCACCGGGAATTATTTAACATTAATCGAAGCCATCGAAATCGGCTTAATCGATTCGGATTCGGTTTCGGTGAAAGACACAAAATCGGGCGTTTGGAGAAAATTACACTTAATCGACGCGATTCATAACGGTTACATCGATGGCAACACCGGAAAAGTTAAAGATTTCTCAAAATCCGAAGTTGTCGAGCTTAATTTACAAGATGCTTTAGCCGTGGGGGTTTTAATCGATAATAAAGCAGCCACTTCGTTACAAAGAGCCATCCACCAAGGGTTATACGAAAGCGAAAGTGGGAAAATAACCGATCCTAATTCAAACAGAAAAATTTCTTTACACGAATCAATCAGGAATTACATCATTAATCCTTTATTACCGTGTTATTTCGATAAAAAAGACTCGACATTATTAGATTTAAACGAAACTTGTCGATTAGGCATCATAGATAAACGCAAAGGCGAATTTATTGACCCAATAACCAACGAGATTTTACCCCTAGATAAAGCTTTAGATTTAGGTTACATCGTCGATATTGAAACGGCTAATTTCGGGTTATACGAAGCGATTCAAATGGGGTTATTCATCCCGCAAGAAAATGTTTTAATCCACCCCGGCACCGGGGGTAATTTCACTTTAAAAGAAGCTTGCGCGAAAGATTTAATTAACCCAAATCTCTCAATAATCAAAGACGTCAAATCTAACAAATACATCAAATTACCTTCAGCCATCGAAAACGGCCTCTTAAACGACGAACAAAACATTTACAACCTCCCAAATGGGAACGAAATAAATTTAATAGAAGCGAAAGAAAAAGGATTAATAGTCACAATTCAAAAAAATTTAAGTTTAGAGGAAGCAATAAAAAATCTTTTATATCGCCCCGAATCAGGTAAATTCGTCGACGTCGCCAATAACACCTTCCACGATTTAAAAGAATCAATCGAAATCGGTTTAATCAATCCAAACACGACCGTTTTAAAAGATCCAAACACAAACGTATCAAAACCCTTAATTTTAGCAATAACCGATGGGGCTATTGACGTTGAAAAAGGTCGCGTTTTAGATTCAAAATCAAAACAAACTTACAACCTCGATAAAGCATTCGAAAAAGGTTTACTTATAACCCTCGATAAACCAATTGAAAATCAATTAAACAAAAATATCATTTCAAAATTATCCGCCTCAAAAACACCGAGAGAATGCACGTTAGAAGAAGCGATTAAATTCGATTTTATCGACCCGAAAATCGCGGTTATTAAAGATCCTAATACTGGTAGTTTCAAAATTGTGGAAGAAGCGATCGAAAATAAAATTTTAGACCCCTCTAAAATGATTACTTTCGAGCCGTACGATAAATTAAAATCGTTCGTTGCAAATTATGATCAAACGTTAACTATTTTCTTAAAAGAGCCGATTTCTTTAGAACAAGCGATCGAAAAAGAACACCTCGATATTAAATCGGGTAAATTCACCGATCCATTATCCAACGAAATTTTAACGTTAAAAGAATCGATCACTCTTGGTTATATCGATCCCGATACCGGTTTAGTTAAAGATACCAATAAAAAGAAATTGGTTAAACTTCCCGAAGGGTTTAGACGTGGTCTTGTTGATGCCGAAAAAGGAAACGTTTTAGATAGTGGTACCTCGAAATTATACTCTTTAGCTTCGGCACTCGATTCGGGGCTTTTGATGATCCCGAGAAGAAGTTTTACTTTAACCGAAAGCATTACTTACGGGTTATATAATCCAACAACCGGTGGGTTTGCAAATCCTTTCGTTACCACCTCAATTATCGATAGAAAACGCCTAACTTTATCAGAAGCTATTGAAGACAATTTAATCGACCCATCTAGTACGGTTATTAAGTGTTCTGAAACTGGAACTTGTTTACCACTTTTAAATGCGATTGATACCCAATTAGTCGATGGAGTTGGTGGTAAAATTTACGATAAAAATGAAGATAAAATGATCGATTTTATGAAAGCTCAGGAGAGAGGTTTGATATTGCCTGCTGTTGAAAGGGTGAGTCATTTTAATTTATTGCTTTATTTTTGCTTTATTTCTTTATTTTTTTGAAAGATTGTTGTCTTTTTTTTTCATTTTTGTCGTTGCTTGCATGAATTTCATCGTAAGCTGATATCATGCTGATATGGGTTGGTTATCTACTTCATTAATCAATTAAAGGGCACATTTTTTTGTTAATGTTTAAATAAAACTCAAAAAAACTAATAACATTTAAAAAAAGGTTGTGGTTCCATTTATTGTTAATGATCACTGAAGTGGATAATAAATCTATTAAACAAATTTCAAATTTAATGGATTTTAAAATATTTAATGTTCCATATTTTACGACAATTTCGTTAAAGGCAGAATAAAATTTTCTTTTCTTTTATCTTTTCTACTTCTTTTTTTCATCTATTCTGTTCTATTTTATTTTTATTTTGACAATTAACTTAGAATATATTTGAAGTTAATCTACGAAAAACTTTGTTGTAATTAAAGAATTCTACTTCATGAGGGGTTGTGTTATAAATACATCATTCGCTGTCCATTATATTAATATTTCCTCTCCTCCAAATTTACCCAACACTCCATATTCCACCTTCCATCCGGTTCGAGCATTCCAATCTCCTATTATCATTACATGTTTCACCTTATTCTGTGCTCTTTCTATTGCCATTTGCAAGTCCTCGTAAAACTTGTTGTATTAGCCCTACTTTTTCTTCGAATTCCAGGTACATGGTAATAATTTGTGGCTTTCCTGTGATCTTTTTTCGATTTCTGCATTCGTTATTATTTCCACTCATTCTTTGGCTCGACTTCCCACCGGAATTCCAGAATATCTTAATGTATAGTTCTTAAACAGACTCCAACGCTGAATAGCGTCTAGGGGAAACGATCTTCACCCGTATCTCACCTTGAAGAGATCCTTTCAACTATTTGTTTCATCTCAATCATCGTATTCTATATTCAGTATTCACATCGATTTACTCTTTATATTCTTTTCTTTTTATAGGTACCCAGAGTTTCATATAATCAATTCATTTTGGAATTGAGTTCTTATATTTGCCAATAAATATGGCATACATACTTTGTGTCACTAATTTAGGTTATGTAATTATGGTTGTTATTAAGGGTTGTAAAGAGTTTTGATACATGCCGATATTAAAGTTCTTGCTTTTCAATGAAGATGGCTAGGTTATCTTCCATCCAGTTTTGTCTTTTGATGCTCTTTTCCAACTCCTAAGATATTGTCTACTACTTAAGACTCTTAAGATTTTCCTCTGTAGTGTGTTCAGCCTCTCTGCTTTTCTTTGTGCAAGTGTCCACGTATTTCCTCCATACTTTAGTACTATACGGATCATGGTTTTATACACTTTAATTTTGGGTTTTCTGCGAATATCTTTGGATTTTAGTGTGCGGAGTATGGCGTAATATGCCTCATTTGCTGCAGTTATTCTCTTAATTAGCTCCTTAGCTTCATCATATGACATGTTAGCTCGTAGGTATGTAAACTCTGGTAGCACTTCAAAGTTGTATTCGATTTCGTAGTTGCCTGCTCTGCTCTATGAGTTAGTAATAATTTAAGTTTATTGCTACCAAATCAGCAATACATTCCACAAACAATTAAATTTTAACCATACTACAATTACATATATCACATTACAATACAATACATTTTATTTCCTATCCTACCCCTCCCCATCTCCTCCCCGCATCTCCCTACGCTGCCTAGTCGCCACCACCTCCCTCATCCATTCTCTTCCCTCTGCCCCCTCCCCTGCTTCCAGCCGATCACCTCCTCTCTTAGCTCGTCACACTCCCTCAGTAGGTGCTCCAACGACTCCCACTCCCCCCCACATAGCCTACAACCCCTCTCATCATCTCTCATCCAATACCTATTCGCTCTCTCCTCATTGCCGCATCTGAATCTTGCCACCATCCTCTTCCCATCCTCATCCCCCTCCACCGACAGGTACTTCGGCAATCCCTCCGTTATTATTTCCTCGTACTTAGGGTTGTACCTGCTCTCCCTTATCTGCCCCCTTCTTTCTTGCCTCTGTACATCTCTGTCCCTGCTCTCCAGCTCTTTCCACATCTCAATCCCTTCCCTCCTTCTATCATCTACCGCTTTCACTGAGTACCCCACCCTTCTGAAATATTCCTCCCTCCCTCGTTGCCCATAACCCCCTTTCCCTGCCTTAATCTCTTTCCAGCACTCCCCCAAAATTTTACATTGAGACCTCCCTTCAACCCTCTCCTCAAAACGTACCGCCCTTTTACCCGCCTCCACTCTTAACTTATCAACCTTCACCTCTTCTCTGACTATGTACTCCGGCGTCTCTTTTGCCAACCCCAAAACCCATCTCCAATACCTAGCCTGTACGCCTTCCAACAGCCCTTGCTCTTTCCACCCCCAAAGCTCCGCCCCGTACATCATAACACTTCTAATCAAGCACTCGAATATCATCTTCCTTTTTCCCATATCCCTTCCAAATAATCTCTCTCCCCACCCCCAGACCTGCCCCATCATCTTATTCGCCTTGTTTGCCATTGCCCTCACATGCGCGCCTTCCTTGTTGTCCTCTCTAAATCTGTACCCCAAATATGTGTACTCCCTCACCTCCTCTATCTCCTTCCCTTCCCACCTCCAGTCTTCGCTCTTCCTTCTACCCCCTTTACAGAACTTCATAACCTTTGTCTTTCCTACATTCACCTCCAGAGCCTTCCCCCTAAAATAACTCTCCAAACTCCGCATCATCGCCTTCATCTCCTCAAATCGTCCGCGTAAGCCAGTGAATGCACCTTCCTCCTCCCTACAACCACACCTCCCATCTGCCCACCGGTCAATCTGTCTTCCATGTCTGCCGTATACAAGGCAAACAGAGCGGTACTAAGTGGACATCCCTGCCTCAAACCCCTCCTTGTCCAGAACCTATCCGTTAACTCGTCCCCCACCTTTACCCTAGCTATCGTCTCTGCGTATATCTCCCTCGCCCTGTTTATTGTCCCACCAGTAATCCCTCTCCTCCTCATCTCCTCCCATAACTTCCCTCTATTCACCTTATCAAACGCTACCTTTAGATCTATGAATAGGGCGTAAAGCTTCCCTCCCTTCCCTTCCAGCTCTTTATCCACCAAGTGCTTCAATATGTACACGTTATCTATCGCGCCCCTTCCCTTTCTAAATCCTGCCTGTCCGTCCGGTAAGATCCCTTTCTCTTCCATCTCTTCCTCCAACCTCTGCAGCAGCACCTTCGCATATATCTTGTACGCCGAGTCCATAAAGCTAATTCCCCTATAACTTTCCACTACTCCCTTCACTCCCTTCTTGTACAAGGGGCTTATTATCGCCGTCCTCCATCCAATCGGAAACCCTTCCCCTTCCCAAACTTTGTTCAGCGCTTCCAACAACTTTCCCCTCACTTCTCCCGTTGCCTCCAGCCATGCCTCATTCTGGACACCGTCCCCCCCTGGAGCCTTCCCCCTCTTTATATATGAGTTAGTAGGCCTACTTCTTTAGCTGCACTTTCAAGTTCCCTGAAAAACTCATCTATACCTGTTACCTTTCTTGCTAATATGTTGACGTCGTTTGTATACCCTATGTATTGTTTTGAGCGGCTTAATAACGTCGATCTTCCTTATTACGCTTTCTAAGTCCAGGTTAATGAGCATAATATAAGGATTATTATAACGGAATATTTACCCTTTTTTTTATGTGAGAATGAGCTTATTACTCTCAATCAAGCAAAATCTTCACCCGAATATCCACTGGAAGAGTCCTTTCAATTATTTATTTCATCTCAATCATCGTACTCGGTATTCAATATTCACATCGATTTACTCATTATACAGGGTGATTCACATGAGAACCGACACAGAGCAGGGACATGTAGGGGACATGTAGTTTCATATAATCAATTCATTTTGAAATTGAGTTCTTATGTTTGCCAATAAACCTCCCATTTAATGTACAACAACTACATATTTCTTTTCTTACCGTAAAATGTAAATGTTCTTTGATAAAAACATTGTTTTTCTATAATTTTGTCTCTTCCATTCTTGCCATTGCTGTATATTGTAATAAAACATAGTTTTAAACGACTGATTGAAAACTTGGTTCTAAACCTTTTAGTTATGAATCGAAAGACAGCTACCCATTGAAATTAAATCTAGACAGGTCTTATTTCTATTATGTTATATTTATCTACTTTAGACAGTCAGTGTGTATTAGTCTTTAAAATATTAGTGCGAACTTCTAATATTTCTAAGCCGGTTTTTCTATCAGTGTTTAAGGAAGATCAATACACTTAAGAAAAATTAATGATCATCTCCCTTGTCTTCTTTTATTATGTTTAATACAGCATTGATCTTTCTTTGTTCCAACTCAAACATTGTACCTTGTGGTACTTAGGAATGGTGTGGTCGAGAAAACACTTTATCTTGATCCGCATTTTTGCCTCCGCCCATTGTCTCGGATATGGTTAAATTAAGGTATGATAAAGGACTTGAAATAACATCCTTGGTTAATGTTATTAATGTTTCAAACTTCCAAAATCTTTCTCTTCTCTGCCATTGTCGCTACTTTAAAAATATTACCATGGGCTAAGCGTTGAGCGAAATTTTATGTCCTTGAATGGTAAGCGGTGAACCACTCGTATCGTACCCGAGGCCTCCTCAATTTTATTCTTCCATCCAGTTTGTTTTTGTTGTTCCATTTTTTGATGCTCTTTTCCAGTTTGCAGCTCCTAACATGTTTTTTCCGCACCTCATCCCCGTCGTATTTTAGAGTTCCCAACCGGTCTCCTACCTGCTACTTAAGATTACTACCTAAGACTCTTCAGATTTTTCTCTCTAGCGTATCCAGTCTCTGCGTTTCTTTGTGCAACTGTTTTATAGGCTCTAATTTTGTTTTTTTTCTGTGAATACCTTTGGATTTTAGTGTGAGCAATGTGGCGTAATATGCCTTATTTGCTGCAGTTATTTTCTTAATTACCTCCTTAGCTTCGTCGTATGACATATTAGCTTCTTGTAGCACTTCAAAGTTGTATTCGATTTTGTAGTTGCCTGCTCTGCTTTATGAGTTAGTAGGCCTACTCTTTTAGCGGCACTTTCAAGTTTCCTAAAAAACTAATCTATATCTGTTATCTTTCTTGCGTGTGTGGATGTTTTGCGTACCCATAGGGCGTTTTGAACGGCTTAATAACGTCGATCCTTTGTCCAGACTATTACGTTCAGACATTACGCTTTTCAGGTCCAGGTTAAAGACCATGGGTGCCAGTTCACCCCCTATCTTAGGCCTTGTGTGACTTCAAATTTTTCTGATTTTCCCAACAATCTTTACTCTATTTGTTGTATTACTCATGAAACTAAATAAAACTCTTCAAAATTGGAATTGTTCAGGTCTAAAAGATTTTAATTCTCTGAAATTCACAGGTTTGGCATCGTTTTAGGTGTGATTGATAATTTCATCTTTAATTATGAAATAATTACTCTAAATAGCCATAGCCGAGGCGGTCTCTGCTAAAAAAATTAAACATTTAGTATCATATATTATTATCGTTAAAGTCGAATGGTATTGGCTTTAACGGGATTTTCTTGGATATGGTAGGGTTATGTTGTCTACGCATATTTAACGTTTTGTGTCACATTTTTAATGTTTACCTGCGGTAGTCTGTTTTTCCTTCTGCTGGGAGCATGGTCTAGTAACTTCAGTTCCAAAATCAAAATATGTGAGGGATTTACGGCTTATTTCAATACTTCCAGCGTTGTCCAAGGTACTTGAGAGAATAATTGTTAAACAGCTTTCTACTTATTTGAATGACAATATTTTACCTCCCAGACAATCTGGGTTCAGGAAACAGTATAGCTGTGCTACTGCGTTGTTGGATGTAAGTAATGGCATGTCTAGGTTCTTGTGTGAGGAAAGGTCTACAATCTTAATTCTTTTTAACTTTACCAAGACTTTTGACATATTAAATCATAACTTATTGCTATCAATCTTGAGTTACAATGGAATTGGTAGTATGGCTGTAAAACTTAAGTCAGTTAAGGTGAATGATGCAATCTCGTCCTCCATGCCAGTGGTATCTGGTGTACCTCCAGAGTCCATTTTGAGTCCGATTGTAACTTGTTTTCAGATTTAAGTACCCTATCGTATCATTTATATGCTGATGATCCTAGCTGTATGCTGAGCTATATTGTAGCTTTTATATTTCTATGAGCCAGTTGTTCTTGATGTTTGGTCTTACACGAACGACTCTTTTTCGAAGTTTTTGGCCTTAAGGCACAAACTGTTTGTGGACGATTTCCTGGATATTGAAAAAATAAATCAGCACGTATTTGATCTTCGACTTGCTCATTCCTGCTTTTCTGGGCCTTGGAGCGGTTGAAGTGTGCCACTCCATGCTCTGCTGCTTGGTCTCCGGTATTGACACGTTCTAGAAAATGGGGATCATTTCCAACCAATTCCAAAAAGTCAAGGCAGCTTTCCCTCCTGATGTCGTTTTGGTCTTGCGAAAGGTTTTTTTGAACCATTTTTGCGCAGATTTTTCTCACCCCCAATTCATTGGTCAAAGTCTGAAGAACGATGGTGTGAGTCAAATTTGACTCTTCCCCGATTATTCTGAATACACAAGATTCCGGATTATGTCGATATTTTCATTGGTTCTTGAAGTTGAAGGCCTTCCGCTTCATGGTTCATCTTCAATCGACTCTCTTCCTTCTGAAAATGCTTTAAACCACCGAAAAACCTGGGCCCTTGACAAAACACTGTGGATATGCGCAGTAGAGTAAATGAGGAGATACAACAATTGTGTGCTTGTATTAGCCAACATTCTTTGCGATTAAATCCTAATAAAATGCAATTATTTACTAAAAAAAAAGGTTACATGTGGTACTCTTATGGGTAATTGAAGGGGCTTTATAGTAGCATATTTTTTGTAGATTGAAACGACATCTTTGTAACTCATTAGTTCTCTTACATTTTAATTATTGCAGCGTTGTCTTTAGTCCGTGTTTATTGTATGCTCGTAGGGTTGGGTTGGTTTGAGTTAGGTTGGGTTAGGTTGGGTTGTCCTCTCCCTTACCTTTTATTTACGCCATCAGGCTCAAACATGACATCTCAGAGAAGCTTATGGCTTGCTGGTGGCTAATCGTGAGACAGAGATCATCACACATTACTTCAATTTGTTGTATTCTGTGTTACTTTACGAGATGCCTCCTTATTTATTAAAGACTTTTGTCTTTTGATGCTCTTTTGCCGTTTGCAGCTCCTAGCATGTTTTAGGCATCCTCCCGCACCTCATCCCTCATCGTGTTATGGACCTACTATTTAAGATTACTACCTAAGACTCTTAAGATTTTCTTCTCTAGCGTGCCCAGTCTCTCTGCTTTTCTTTGTGCAAATGTCTTGTGGGTCGCAAAACGCGAGAAAGAGATTCATCACACATTACTTTAATTTCTTGTATTCTGTGTTATTTTATGAGATTCCTCCTTATTAAGTCAATAAAATAAAGTTTAGGACTGATATTCACCACTTCAATTTAAGGCATCGTTTTTATGTTACTATTCTTAGCCACAAATTGTCTAAATTTAAACACTCATCATTTTCGTACCAAGTACCAAAAACGTAATCCCTGATTCTGAGATGTGCTGGCTCTTTTGCAAAATTTAAATCAGGGCGGTTTATATAGTCAGCTATAGGTTGTGTTTCTTACTGGCTTTAATGATTCATCATCGAATTGATACTTAACACATTATACTTATTTTTCATTTGATTTACTTTTTATTTTCAATTTTTTCTTCTCTACTTTTTCATTTTATTCTTTTCTAAACTCTTTTTTGAATACAATTTTACCACGTGGTGTTGAAATTCTTACCCCTTTTTAAATCAATTTCCTTCCAGGATTAAATTAACAAATATCAACAAGTAAAGTCTGGAACATTCTTAATATTTCTTTTCTAAAAAAAATTTATTCTTAGTTTCACACTGATATAAATAAATTATTTTTTGCAGCTACATGCAAGCATAGAAGCATCTCTCGGAGCTTTTCATATTTTTGGCAGCCCATCCCTCACTACCGCTCACAAAAATATACCATTATTAAAAAATAATAAGCTATTAGTGCATAAAGGCGTTTGAGACGAGCCCATTAATGCACGTTAATTACCATATCGCATTTTATTTTCATTTTTTTTTGTTACACCCTCAAAACATTTGGATTTGGTTAAAATTGTGAATGAAGGAGAAATTAATAAATTAATTAATTAATAATAGAAGTCATGCCGTGTGGTGGCAGTTTTTAAACGAAGCTTTTTTGTGTGAAGGTTTTTTAACGAATTCATTTAATAAATCAAACACATTTCCATCGTTAATAGCGTTAATGAATTAATTAGTTAAATAGTTTTTGTTTTGTAATTGTTGTTTCATAGCAAATATGTTCTTATTGGTTTAAAATTTGAATGAAATTGTTTAAAATCAATAATTCGATAACAACATAGTTGCAAAGTTTAATAATTTAATTAATTTTTAAAAGATATGTTATATTTTTAATCACCATTATCATTTTTGTCTATTTTTTGTTCCTTTTTGTTTTTTTTTTTATTACATTTTTATTTCCAGGTTTACTATTTTCCATAAAAAAATCAATCAACTTTTATTTGTTCCTCGTGTGTAATTTATAATTTATAATTTTATACATGTTTTTATTTTTTTAACACTAACTCCTTCTCATCATTTTTATTTTTTGTTGTATTCAGTGTGTTATCGTGAGAGCGCTTGTGAAAGCATGTTTGTCTTTGTTTAGGTTTAGGGTAGGTTTTAAGAGCTTACGATTGGCTGTAATACCAAAAAAAGCTGCTATGAATTTAAGCTGCATAGATTTTAAGCCGTTTGTTAATTTATTTTGTTATTCGATCCAATTTTTTATAACAATGATTTTGGAGATCAATTTTTTTGGTAAAATTTTGCAGCAAGCCGTCGAGGAAAAATACAAACTTTGCGACGAAACCCTCTCGAAATTGTTGCAATGGATCGAAATGATCGAGGAAAAAATCGCAACCCAAGATATCGTTCGCGAAGTTCCCGAGGAATTAAGAAACCAAATCAACACAATGAAGCAAATTAGAGATGACCTCGATCAACATTCCGGGCAAGTCTCTCACATCCAAGATAAAGTTAGACAACTCGTTTTAACCGCTGGTGATATCTTATCGAAAAGCGAAGTTTCAATGTTGGAGAAGAACGGAAGGAATTTGAAAACCCGCTATGAAAAAGCTTGCGATAGAACCGATAAACTTTTAAGAAAATTAGTTACAGCAAGAGATGAACTTTCAAAACTTAAAGGGGAATTAACCAATTTCAGCTCGTGGTTATCAAAAGCACGAAGAGTTTTGGAAGATAAAGAGAGAGCTCTTAGCGATCTTCAACGATTAGATACGAGTGTTGATAGCACGAAAGAATTCGTGTCGGATGTCATCGCTCACCAAGCCGATTTAAGATTCATCACCATGTCTGCACAAAAATTCGTCGATGAGTCTAAGGTAAGATAAAATAATCAAAAATTGTATTAATTATAATTTTTAAAACAAAATAGGAATACTTAAACATCTTAAACGATTTCCGGACAACTTTACCATCGAGGTTACCCCACATCGAGCCTTTAGCATCGCAAGATTCTCCAGTTCGCAACGAAGTGTCTTTGGTAACCCAACAATACCGAGATTTACTCCATCGCGCCAATAATTTATCGGATCGTTTATCCGGCGTTGGTGGTCGTCAAAAAGAATATGGAGATGCTTTAAGCAAAGCCCAAGCTTGGTTAAGAGATGTTGAACCAAGAGTTCACGCTGTTCTCAACGAACCAATCGCTGGTGATCCAAAAACTGTCGAAGATCAACTTCACCACGCGAAAACCCTAAATAATGAGTTAGTTGCAAACGGAAGATTAATTGATAACGCAAAACAGGTAAAAAAATTATTCCCTCTGTTCCAAATTATGGTATACATTTCTCTTTACAATTTGTCCCAAATTATGTTATGCAAAACTTGAAAATTGCTTTATTGTATTTGTAAAATTAATAATTCAATTTGTAACTTAATTTAAACATAGATTAATGAAAATTTTACGCATTTAAACACAATTCAGCTGGTTCAATTCACAATTCATGAATTTTCGTATTTTTCTCGATATCTATGCGTTTGAGAGCAAAAGTGCAAGACAACAATTTTGTTAAGAATAAAAGTTGCTACAACTTTCGTTCGAAAAGTTTTTCTGTGCACGTTCAGATTCAAATTTATTCAATTTTATAGTTGTTGATTGCTGAGGTCATCATGGTTGGCTCCATGCACTTTTGTAGTGTCAAGAAACTTTATATAATTTTTTTTTGGTTAATGCGTTGAAGGCACTTTTAACACAATCTATTAATTCATTCATAGTTTTTGGCGATGTTTGCTGGCAATTTTGATATTTTGAGAATTCCTGGCTTGAATCTAAGAAATGGTGATATCTATGGCAACATTAGTTATGAATTATGTTATCTTGATTCATTATCATTATTTTTTATGGGAAACGTTTTTCTATATCACCTTTAGTTTTCTACTTATAACAGAATTTAACGCAGATGATTGTCAATTTTGATGTTTTGAGAATTCCTGGCTTGAGCCTCAGAAATAGTGATATCTATGGTGGCATTGATTATGAATTATGTCATCTTGATTCATTATCATTATTTTTTATGAGAAACGTTTTTCTCTATCACCTTTAATTTTTTACTTATAACAGAATTGAACGCAGATGATTGTCAATTTTGATGTTTTGAGAATTCCTAGCTTGAACCTAACAAATGGTGATATAGTAAAAACCACGAGAGCTGGCAGTGACAGATCGCTTAAAAATGGTATGAATCAACATATGGACGTACGACTTAGATTATTTCACCACATACATTTAATGTAGGTTATGTTAGTAATGGAGGTTATATGTCAAACATTGTCAAAGATATTATTTATTGATTTTTCTTTCAAAGAAAACATTTTCGGCTTGTGAAAACACTGACAGATTCATGACAACGCTCACCAGATGTTTCGATTTGAGGTTATAATTATAGAGTTACATCCCTTAGAAGAACAGACGTACTTTTTCGACGTGGCCATTTGAATTGTACAGCAGACATATTAAACTAATGCTATCTCTTTCTAACACACATTACGCTCTAGCGTTTGTGAACTACGTATGGCATTTGTAAGAGCGGAAAATGATAATTTACTGCCAGCTCTCGTGGCGTCTACTATATCTATGGTGGTATTGACTATGGATTATGTTATCTTGATTTATTATCATTATTTGTTAAGAAAAACGTTTTCCTCTATCGCCTTTAATTTTCTACTTATACCAGAATTTACCGCAGATGATTGTTAATTTTGATATTTTGAGAATTTCTGGCTTCAACCTAGGAAATGGTGATATCTATGGTGGTATTGACTATAGATTATGTTATCTTGATTCATTATCGTTATTTTTTATGGGAAACGTTTTTCTCTATCACCTTTAGTTTTCTACTTATAACAGAATTTAACGTAAATGATTGTCAATTTTGATGTTGTGAGAATTCCTGGCTTGAACCTAAGAAATGCTGATATCTATGGTGGTATTGACTATAGATTATTTTATCTTGATTCATTATCACCAATTGTTAAGCAAAATGTTTTTCTCTATCACCTTTAGTTTTCTACTTATACCAGAATTTAACGCAGATGATTGTCAATTTTGATATTTTGAAAATTCCTGGTTTGAACCTAAGAAATTGTGATATCTATGGTGGCATTGACTATGAATTATGTTATCCTGGTTCATTATCATTAATTTTTATGGGAAACGTTTTTCTCTATCACCTTTAATTTTTAACATATAACAGAATTTAACGCAGATGATTGTCAATTTTGATATTTTGAGAATTCCTGGCTTGAACCTAAGAAATGGTGATATCTGTGGTGGCGTTGACTATAGATTATGTTATCTTGATTCATTATCACCAATTGTTAAGGAAAACGTTTTTCTCTATCACCTTTAGTTTTCTACTTATAACAGAATTTAACGCAGATGACTGTCAATTTAGATATTTTGAGAATTCCTGGCTTGAACCTAAGAAATGGTGATATCTATGGTAGCATTGGTTATGAATTATGTCATCTTGATTCATTATCTTTATTTTTTACGGGAAACGTTTTTTTCTATCACCTTTAATTTTTTACTTATAACAGAATTTAACGCAGATGATTGTCAATTTTGATATTTTGAGAATACCTGGCTTGAACCTAAGAAATGGTGATATCTATGGTAGCATTGGTTATGAATTATGTTATCTTGATTCATTATCATTAATTTTTATGGGAAACGTTTTTCTCTATCACCTTTAATTTTTTATTTATACCAGAATTTAACGCAGTTGATTGTCAATTTTGATATTTTGAGAATTCCTGGCTTGAACCTAAGAAATGGTGATATCTATCGTAGCGTTGGTTATGAATTGTGTTATCTTGATTCATTATCATTAATTTTTTGAGAATTCCTGGCTTGAACCTAAGAAATGGTGATATCTATGGTGGCATTGACTATGGATTATGTTATCTTGATTCATTATCATTAATATTTATGACAAACGTTTTTCTCTATCACCTTTAATTTTCTACTTATACCAGAATTTACCGCAGATGATTGTCAATTTTGATATTTTGAGAATTCCTGGCTTGAACCTAAGAAATAGTGATATCTATGATGGCATTGACTATGGATTATGTTATCTTGATTCATTATCATTAATATTTATGACAAACGTTTTTCTCTATCACCTTTAGTTTTCTACTTATAACACAATTTAACGCAGATGATTGTCAATGTTGATATTTTGAGAATTCCTGGCTTGAACCTAAGAAATGGTAATATCTATGGTGACATTGACTATGGATTATGTTATCTTGATTCATTATAATTAATTTTTATGGGAAACGTTTTTCTCTATCACATTTAATTTTTTATTTATAACAGAATTTAATCCAGATGATTGTCAATTTTGATATTTTGAGAATTCCTGGCTTGAACCTAAGAAATGGTGATATCTATGGTGGCATTGACTATGGATTATGTTATCTTGATTCATTATCATTAATTTTTATGGGAAACGTTTTTCTCTATCACCTTTAATTTTCTACTTATAACAGAATTTAATCCAGATGATTGTCAATTTTGATATTTTGAGAATTCCTGGCTTGAACCTAAGAAATGGTGATATCTATGGTGGCATTGACTATGGATTATGTTATTTTGATTCATTATCATTAATTTTTATGGGAAACGTTTTTCTCTATCACCTTTAATTTTTTACTTATAACAGAATTTAACGCAGATGATTGTCAATTTTGATATTTTGAGAATTTCTGGCTTGAACCTAAAAAATGGTGATATTTATGGTGGCGTTGACTATAGATTATGTTGTTTTGATTCATTATCACCAATTGTTAAGGAAAACGTTTTTCTCTATCACATTTAGTTTTCTTATTATACCAGAATTTAACACAGATGATTGTCAATTTTGATATTTTGAGAATTCCTGGCTTGAACTTAAGAAATCGTGATATCTATGGTGGTATTGACTATAGATTATGTTATCTTGATTCATTATCATTATTTTTTATGGGAAACGTTTTTGTCTATCACCTTTAGTTTTCTACTTATAACAGAATTTAACGCAGATGATTGTGAATTTTGATATTTTGAGAATTCCTGGCTTGGACCTAAGAAATGGTGACATCTATCGTAGCGTTGGTTATGAATTGTGTTATCTTGATTCATTATCATTAATTTTTTGAGAATTCCTGGCTTGAACCTAAGAAATGGTGATATCTATGGTTGCATTGACTATAGATTATTTTATCTTGATTCATTATCATTAATTTTTATGGGAAACGTTTTTCTCTATCACCTTTAATTTTTTACTTATAACAGAATTTAGCGGAGATGATTCTCAATTTTGATATTTTGAGAATTCCTGGCTTGAACCTAAGAAATGGTGATATCTATGGTGGCATTGACTATAGATTATGTTATCTTGATTAATTTACATTATTTTTTATGGGAAACGTTTTTCTCTATCACTTTTAATTTTTTACTTATAACAGAATTTAACGCAGATGATTCTCAATTTTGATATTTTGAGAACTCCTGGCTTGAACCTAAGAAATGGTGATATCTATGATAGCATTGACTATGGATTATGTTATCTTGACTCATTATCATTAATTTTTATGGGAAACGTTTTTCTCTATCATTTTGACATTGTGGGATTTCCTGGCTTTTGCATAAGAAATGGATATCACTATGGTGGTATTGGTTATGACTTGTGTTATCTTGATCCATTATCATCAATTTTTATAAGAAAAGGTTTTCTCTATCACTTTTAGTTTTTTTAGTCATAACTCAGAACCAGGGTTGGGCATTTTTACACTACCACTAAATTGCACTACCACTGTCTATTCAGTGATAGTTAAAACGCAAAATCCATTATCACTTAAAATTTAGTGATAATGAAAAAAAATTGTATTATCACTTAATCTTTAGTGATAGTGAAGAAAATGCATTATCACTAAACTTTTAGTGAAACATGTTAACTAAATACATTTGAATTTATATTTTATGTCCAATATTAGTTATCAATTAGTTTGTTGGTGTATAGGCGGTGTAATTATATGACTAAGCGATATCATTAAGCAAATCTAGCAAAATAAATCACTACTACTTTTTTGAACGACTTTTCCACGACTTTGGAACACATTTCCTTATTCAGTCTCAGCTTATATGTATAGTCTTACTTTTATTCCTTATTATGTTACTGAAAAATCTTATTTATCACTAAAGGTTTTCACTATCACTAAATATTTAGTGGTAGTGCATTTCTTTTTCACTATCACTAAAGGTTTAGTGTTTATGTAATTTTTTTCACTATCACTAAATATTCAGTGATAATGAAATTCGTGTTTTACCTACCACTGAAGAAGTAGTGGTAGTGAAACGCTTATTGCATTTATTTTTTAGTGCATTATGCCCAACCCTGCTCAGAACAGAATTTAATGTACTTAGATGATTGTCAATTTTGATATTTTGAGAATTCCAATTACGGAAAGGATTTTGCTAAGAATTGAGCTTCTTTTAAAACAATTTGCTGCAAAGAGTGAATAGCATTGAAGAAGCCACCATTGTTCCTCTTGCTTGGTTCTTGCTGTATCTTTTTTGCAGGTTCTTTATAAATAAAAGAGAGTCCTATTTTGCCGTTTAGTTATGAATCGTTTGCTTTTACAGCGCCTTTCTGGTTCTGCTTCGTCTTTACGTCTCTTTACAAGTCTCTGTACATTTCGTGACAAGTATCTCCCATAGTTTTGGCACAATGAGTATTTTGTGATTAAATTAAGATTACATTAGATTATATTAAGATTATAAAAATCCATAAATTTTTGAGAAATCTATACCATAATTTGGGACAGAGAGTACATAATTTTTAGATTTAAATTAATCTTGTTGTAAATAAATAGGCTACATCATCATTGCTGAACTCATTAGAAGGACAAATTTCGCCATCGGAAATCGCGAGGTTAGAAGAACCAGTTGTTGAACTCGATATGAAATACACCCAACTTAAAGAAGCTTTGGCTGATCGTTGTCAAGAATTAGATACAGCTTTGGTGCAATCCCAAGGTGTTCAAGACGCTCTCGATGGAATAATAACGTGGTTAACAATGGCTGAAAATCAATTCAAAAACTTACAAAAACCCGCATCGTTAATTCGCGAAAGACTTGAAGAACAACTCAGAGAGCACCGCGTTTTCCAATCAGACGTCGACACCCACGTTTCTTCAATCGACTCCGTTTATTTATCAGCAAGCGAATTAATTTCCTCAACGAGTAACGCTCGAGTTGCGAAAAAAATCGAAACGAAATTAAACGACGTTCGAACCCGCTTCGAAAAACTTTACGATCGCGTCGAAAAACGAGGAGAATTCTTAAACGACGTTTCCAAACATCTTTCGGTGTTTACAAGCGAAGCCGACCAATTTGAAGAGTGGTATAACGGTGTTATGGAGATCATCGAATCGAGAGACTTCACCAAGTTAAGCATTGAAGAGTATTCATCAAGAATGAAAGATATCGCTGCAAATCGAGACGATAAACGTGCGCTATTCGAAGATGTTATTAAAACGGGAAAAGATCTTGTTAATAAACGCGACGTTATTGATACTTCTCATATTAGAGATCGCGTAAAATCGATGGAAAATAACTGGAGGGATTTAAATATGATTTTGGATGAGAAACAAAAATTATCGAAACAACGCGCCGAACAATTAAACGCTTACGAATCTTTAAGAGAACAAGTTAATGATTGGTTGAGTCGAATGGAACATAAAATAGCCCGTTTAGATTCTGTAGCTGTTGAAATCGAAACCTTAAAAAGACAAGCAGAAGAATTAAAACCGATCGTTAAAGAATATCGCGATTACTCCACGATGATCGATAAAATTAATGACGTTGGAAACATGTACGATAGCTTACTTCGTGGTGATCGTTCCGATTCTCCATCAAGAAGAAGACAATTTAGCCCAACTAAACGCCCCGTTACAAGCCCATTAAGAAGACCTTCACAAGATGGAAGATCACCATCCCCAACTAAAGGAATTAGTCCGTTATCACCAGGTGGTTCAAGCGGATTTTCATCGCGTCGATCAAGCCAGGATGGTTTCCATTTAGAAGATTTATCCCCAGTACAACAACAACTATCAGAAATTAACAATCGTTATAATTTATTGGGAGTTAAAATCAGCGATCGTCAAAATGAAATCGACGTCCTCCGCGAAGAACTCAAAAAACACATGGAAAATTTGCGCGTTTTAAGCAACTTCTTAGACAAAGTCCAAAGGCAAATTCCTAAAGATATGACGACAAACACAAAAGAAGAAGCCGATAAAGCCCAACGTCAACTTAAACAAATTCTTGAAGAAATGTACGAAAAACAATCGTTATTAGACTCGACGAAGAGCCAAATTAAAGACTTATTGAGGCGTAAACCGAACGCTTTGGGAACAGATAACTTAAACGGCGAATTAGAGGAGGTCGCCGCCCGTTGGAAAGCTCTTAATGATATGTTGAAAGATCGTATTAGATTCACAGAAGATTTTAAAGAATTTTTGGACACCCACGATTCTCTTTCATCATGGTTATCCTCAAAAGATCGCATGTTAACAGTTTTAGGACCAATATCGTGCGATCCAAGAATGGTTCAATCGCAAGTACAACAAGTTCAAGTACTTAGAGAAGAATTCCGATCACAACAACCTCAATTACAACACTTCTTAGAAGTTGGCGACTCAGTTTTAGCCTTCTTAGGTCCAAACACAAACGATGGAAGAAAAGTTAATGATAAAATCGGCGTCGTCCAAAAACGATGGGCCGAACTTTTAGCTAAACTTGAGGAAAGAGCCGATTCTTTAGGGGCGGCCGCTGATACAAGCAGAGAATTCGACGCGCAACTTACACGACTTCGTGATGGTTTACAAGCAATTTCCGATAATTTAGATGAATTACCTTTGGATAAAGATCCAGAAGAGCAATTAAGGAAGGTTGAGAATTTAGAGAGGCAATTAGAGGGTCAGCGCCCACTTTTAGCTGATTTAGAAACAGCTGGGGCTCAACTTTGTGAGGTTCTTAGTGATCCAGCTTCAAGAGCTGATATTCAAGCTAAATTAGCTTCGGTTGGGCGGCAATATAATGCGTTACAAAAGAAATTGGATCATCGCAAAGCAGAAATTGAAGGCTCTTTGAGAGATGGGCGGCAATTTGAAGCTTCTTGCTCGAAGACTTTGGGTTGGTTATCGGATGAGTTGGGAAGTTTAAGTGAAAGATTGTTGGTGTCGGCTGATCGCGATGTTCTTGAGCAACAACTCGCTCATCACGAACCGATTTATCGCGATGTTTTAGCGAGAGAACACGAAATAATCATGTTGTTAAATAAAGGGAAAGATTTAAAAGGAACCAGGGATAATCGCACTTTACAAAGGGATTTGGATAAGATCCAAACGCAGTGGGATAAGTTGCGCAAAGAAACGGTTGAGAGGCAAACGAGGTTGCAAACGTGCATGGAACATTGCAAGAAATATTACCGGAGTTTAGAAACATTTTTGCCATGGTTAAGACAAGCTGAAGATAAATTAGACAGTCTAAAACCATCGTCGTTTAAACGAAAACACATTGAAAAACAACTCAAAGAATTACAATCGTTTAGAAACGAAGTTTGGAAAAGATCTGGAGAATACGAAAACACGAAATCTTTGGGAGAAACCTTCTTCTCAGCTTGTGATATCGACAAAGACATCATTAAAAACGAATTAACAAATTTAAAATCGCGATGGGAAAAACTTAACAACGATTTAATCCAGCACACCCAATCCTTGGAAGATCAAGCGCACAAATTAAGCGATTTTAATGAAAATTTACGAGATCTTCAGCACGGCGTTGAAAGATGCGAAGATAAACTTGCGTCGCACGATGCTTTAGGAGGCGCCGCGAGAGATCCAAAAATGTTGGATCGCATCAAAAATCTACGCGAAGAAGCCGCAAATTTAAAGAAACCTTTACAAACTTGCAAAAATCAAGCAGCCGATCTTATCCATGAAGCGAGAGAAAACCACATCGACGCTAATCATCTCCAAGATGAAGTTGATGGTTTAGGCGATCGCATTCAAGATCTCCAAGCGAAATTAGACGACAGATGTTCAGAGCTCCAATCGGCCGCCACCGCGGTTACTCAATTTAACGAACAAGTTAAAGGATTATCTCAAGATCTTTCCGGGTTAGAAGCCGAATTAGACGGAATGAAACCACCGGGTAGAGACTTCAAAACCGTTAAAACCCAAATTGAAGATTGCGCTAAATTGATTAAGAAGCTCAATAAAGCAGCTGATTGTGTTAACGAAGCTATTTCTTCAGGCGAGCGATTAGTTGATAGCGGATTCGCGCCGGATACAGCTCAAACAAGAGAACAAGTCAACACTTTGAATAAACAACTAAATAAATTAGAAGATAGAGCTAAATCTAGAGAGAATGATTTAGACTCAACGATGAAAAAATTGGAAGAATTCTACTTGCTTCACGCCGGTGTTTTGGATGACGTCATCGAAGCAATGGATCAATTAAGAAAATTAAAACCCGTTGGTTCCGATGTTGAAACAATCAGAGCGCAACAAGATGATTTCAAAAAATTCCGCGCAAAAATCGAACCGTTAAGCAGAACCGTTGATGAGTGTAATCGCAACGGACAAGGTTTAATCCAATCGGCTTCACCAGGAGTTAACACCTCAACCTTAGAAAAAGACCTCGAAAAAATGAACGAAAAATGGAACGACCTCAAAGAAAAAATAAACGATCGAGAACGAAGATTAGACGTCGCTTTATTACAATCAGGAAAATTCCAAGAAGCTTTAGATGGCTTAGCTAAATGGTTAACCGACACAGAAGATTTAGTAGCAAATCAAAAACCACCATCCGCCGATTACAAAGTGGTTAAAGCTCAACTTCAAGAACAAAAATTCCTTAAAAAGATGTTATTAGATCGCCAAAATTCGATGTCTTCCTTATTCAGCATGGGTAATGAAATCGCCAAAGAAGCGGAACCATCCGAAAGAAAAGCCATTGAGAAACAACTTAAAGATCTTATGGTGAGATTTGATGCACTCACTGAAGGTGCTCAACAAAGAACTTTAGATCTAGAACAAGCGATGAGAGTTGCGAAACAATTCCAAGATAAATTAATATCACTTCAAGAATGGCTTGATAAAAGCGAAAGAAAAATTAAAGACATGGAATTAATTCCGACCGATGAAGAAAAAATCCAACAAAGAATCCGCGAACATGGTGTTCTCCACAACGATATTTTAAACAAAAAGGTTGATTTCAACGAATTAACTGATATTGCATCGAATTTAATGTCTCTTGTTGGTGAAGATGAAGCGATTGCTTTAGGAGAAAAACTACAAGAAGTCACCGATCGTTATGGAACTTTAGTTGAAACCAGCGAAAATATCGGACAATTATTAGCCGATTCAAGACAAGGATTGAGACACCTCGTTTTGACTTATCAAGATCTCGCAGCTTGGATGGACAGCATGGAACAAAGATTAGGAAAATACAAAGTATTAGCAGTCCACCCAGAAAAACTTTTAGGCCAAATGGACGATTTAGCATCTTTAACCGAAGACATAGCAAGTCGCCAACAAGACGTTGATAGCACAGTTGACACAGGTGTTGAATTAATGCGCCACATCTCATCAGACGAAGCACTTCACCTCAAAGACAAATTAGATTCCCTTCAAAGAAGATATAACGAATTAACATCCCGCGGTGCCGATTTATTAAAACACGCCCAAGTTATGTTACCACTAGTCCAACAATTCCACAACAGCCATAACCGCTTAGTTGAATGGATGCAAGAAGCTGAAGGAATCCTCCAATCGGCCGAACCACACGAAGATGAAATCGCCAGACTTGAAATCGATTTGCAAGAATTAAGACCTGTTCTTGAAAACATCAATTTGGTTGGCCCTCAACTTTCTCAAGCGAGCCCCGGGGAAGGCGCTGCTACAATCGAAGGTTTAGTAACGAGAGATAACAGAAGATTCGATGCCATCGCAGAACAAATTCAAAGAAGAGCCGAAAGGATTCATCTCGGAAAACAACGTGCTTTAGAAGTTACCACGGACATCGACGAATTACTCGAATGGTTTAGAGAAGTTGAGAGTCAAATCCGAGATGCGGAGAAACCTTCGGCTGAACCCGATTTAATTAGAGTACAATTAAAAGAACACAAAGCTTTGAACGACGATATTTCAAGTCAAAAAAGTAGAGTTCGCGATGTTTTATCAACAGCTAAGAAAGTGTTACGCGAAAGCCCCCCAAGCGATGACACTTCATTGATAAGAGAAAAAATGGAAGATTTACGCGAAATTATGGATACAGTTTCAACTTTAAGTTCTGATAGGTTGGGCATTTTAGAACAAGCTCTTCCTTTAGCGGAGCATTTCAACGACACCCACAGCGTTTTAACCAATTGGTTATCAGATATGGAAGAACAAGTATCCATGCTTTCCATGCCAGCGATGAGACCAGATTTAATAGCACAACAACAAGACAGAAACGAGATGTTCGTACAATCAATAAACGAACACAAACCACTCGTCGATAAATTAAACAAAACCGGTGAAGCTTTGATTAGATTATGCAACGATGACGATGGAGCTAAAGTTCAAGACTTCATCGATAACTGCAACGAACGTTATGGTGCTTTGAAATTAGAATTACGCGAAAGACAACAAGCGCTTGAAAAGGCACTACAAGAAAGTTCCCAATTTAGTGATAAATTAGAAGGAATGTTGAGAGCTTTATCAAACACAGCCGATCAAGTTCATAATCAAGACCCGATTTCAGCTCACCCCCCAAAAATAAAAGAACAAATCAACGAAAATGATTCCTTAATCGACGATTTAGACAAACGCAAAGAAGCGTACGCCGCTGTTGAAAAAGCAGCCGATGATGTCATCAATAAAGCTCCAAACAGAGCTGATCCCGCTATTAAAGACATCAAACGAAAACTCGACAAACTTAAAAACTTATGGGACGATGTCCAAAACACCACAAATAAACGTAACAAATCTCTTAACGACACCCTCGATGTCGCCCAACAATTCTGGAGACAGCTCAACGCGGTCATGGCAACACTCAATGACCTCCAAGATTCCCTCCAAAGTCAAGAACCACCAGCAGTTGAACCAAAAGCGATTCAAAAACAACAAGTTGCTTTACAAGAAATTAGGCACGAAATCGATCAAACGAAACCGGAAGTCGAACAAGTAAGGCATTCCGGACAAAAATTAATGCAACTTTGTGGCGAACCTGACAAACCGGAAGTGAAAAAACATATTGAAGATTTAGATCACGCTTGGGATAATATTACCGCTCTTTATGCTAAACGCGAGGAGAATTTGATTGATGCCATGGAGAAAGCGATGGAATTCCATGAAACTTTAAGAGATCTACTTGAATTCTTGAAGAAAGCTGAAGAGAAATTTAATAGAATGGGACCGTTGGGTTCTGATATAGATGCTGTTAAAAGACAAATTGAGCAGTTGAAGAATTTCAAAGCGGAAGTTGATCCTCATATGGTGAAAGTTGAAGCTTTAAACAGGTTCGTAATTTTTTATTTATTTGATTTGATGGGTATGGGTTCAAAATTAAATACATCCAGATAGATAGGGAGGTTTATGAGTCGTTTACAGGATGTTTAAATAAGGTGGGCCAAAATTGCGGCATTTTTAAATAAAATCCCTACATTATCAAAGTACCGCGGTTCAGGAAGCCTGTATATTTGTTGAGTTGCGGTAACGTTTTTATTAAAACAACAACCCGTTGATAGAAAATATATTGAAAATACTACTGAACTATGGCCAATTATATGAACAGAACAAAAAGAACAAGGTCAAGCGTTCCCTTCGTACTACCAACTTAAAAATATTTAAATCTGTAGCTTTCAGACGAATAAGTAGCGATATCTATTGGATAACGTATTGTTTTAATCATACTTAACAAATATTCAACACGTTCTGTTGACGACTTGCCCATACAATTGCTCCTTCTGCATATGTGCTCACTAATCCAATTGTTGATTTTGCTGTTTCCCAGTCTCCTCCATGATCTGCGTCACTGTACGTCATAAAAGATCCAGGATTATCTGATTGATACATGAGTCTAACATTTTTTGTTCCGTTTAAGTATCTAAAAATTCGTTGAACTCGTTGCCAATCAGCTTGGGATGGTTTTGATACTGGTCTTGCAATGACACCTACAGCAAAGGCAATATCTGGTCGTATAGCTGTAGCCAAATATTATAAACAACTCACAGCTTCACGATAAGGAATCCTATCATTTATACATTCTTCGTCTTTTTCAATCGTCATTGTAGGAACTCCAACTGACTTTGAATGTTCCATTCCAAATCGCTCTAGTATTTTTCTGGTATATGTTAGCTGACTTATAAAAATGTTATCATCCTGTTGAATTTGTATACCAAGAAATGAATTCGGTTCATCTTCCGTAGTCTTGAATTCCTGCTTTAGTTGATGGATTAATCCAGTTATCTCTTTTTGATCATTCCCTGCTATCTATCCATCATCCACACAGATTACTAAGAACAATTTCTATTTCTTATAAATAAACATGGATCTGCAACGTTTTCCTGAAACCCCTGCTTCAGTTTAAATTGTTTAAATTTGTTGTTCCAGCATTTTGGTGCTTGCTTCAAGCCATAAATAGATTTTTGAATTCGGCATACTCGATTAGTTCCATCATTAAATCCTTCTGGCTGTTCCATATATAGTTGTTCTTTAATTTCGCCATAAAGAAAAGCGGTCTTCACATCAAATTGATAAAGTTTCAAGCATTGCGTAGCTGCTATGCTTAACAATACGCGTTCTGTATTATAACGAGCTACTGGAAAAAATAGCTCGTCGTAATCTATTCCTTTTCTCTACGCTTACCCTTTTACTACAAGTCTAGCTTTCGCTCTTTTTATTGATCCATCTGGTTTTAATTTCATTCGATATACCCAGCGACATTCCTTCCTTTTGGTAATTCTTCCATCTGCCATGTACCATTTTCTTCATGATTCCTCATCCATCGCTTTCTTCCACTTGACATTATCTTCAGAATCTATCGCTTCTTCATACGTTCCTGGAGCATATCCCCAAGATAGGCAAAGTAAGCGTAATCTTGTAAGGATTCTTCCTTTCTTGGAATTGTTTCCTCATAGTCATTGTATCGACTTGGTGGTTTTGGTTGTCGTTTTGGACGTGTCGGATTTGTTTCTTCTTTATTTTTATTACAATTTTCTGACTTATCTGGGTAATTTTCTTCAAGAATTTCTTCCTCTTCTGCCTTGTTGTTGCCTTCAGATCCCTGAGTTTCAAAGTCCATTTGCAAAAATGCATTACAAACATCCATTTGATATATCAACCAGTTATTAGTCGTACAAATAGCTAATAATGTTACATATATAATGTATTGTCTTTAATTTTACTACTGTAGCGTAAAGATCTTCTTGTAAGCCCTGTTGTTGATAATCTTTTGCCACCAACCAGCACTTAAATTGATTAATGTCACCGTTTGCATCTCGTTTAAGTTTAAACACTCATTTACTGTCCACTATTTCACAATTTTTCGGTTTATTCACTAAATCCCATGTTTTATTATCTGTTAAAGCTTTTAGTTCACTTTTTATACCCTTTCCCACTCATACGCGTTCTCACTGTTCATAGCTTCTTGGTATGTTATGGGTTCGTCCTGATCAACAGTAAAATAACTCACATAATCTTTAAATTCATTCAACAACTTTATTTCTCGTTTAGGCCTCTCTGCTCTCGGAACTTCTACGTTTTCTTCGTGTAAAGCATCACAATATTTTTCTCCTTCTTCTTCACGATCTTCTTCTTTATTTTCCTTCTCACGTTCTTCTTCTTTATTTTCCTCTGTTCTCTCTTCATCTTCCTCTACATCACTTTCATTTTCCTCTTCAAAATCTAATCTTACAATTTCTTCTATCTCCTTGTTCACTTTGCTTTCTTCACTTTCTGGTACAAAAATTATCTCTCTCTCTATTGTTAAGGTTTCTTTATCAATCAAATAACCTTTAGTGTTCTGTGCATATCTTTCGGTATATATTCCACGTAGGGATTGAAGGTCAAAATCTCTATTATTCTACACTTGATAAGGTGTTTTATTTTTTACTGGACTCGTTCCAGTTCTATTTATCAAATATACAGCCATGTTCGCTGCCTCAGCCCAAAATTTTTTCTCAGCCAACATCGTTGCTTCCATAATTGTTCAAAACTCTCTTTCTGCCTTTCCATTTTGTTGGGGGGTATAAGGTACAGTGAGCTGATGTATGATTCCATATTTTTTTGATAGATTCTTTACTGAAACATTTACAAATTCTTTTCCGTTATCACTTCTAACGATTTTTATGTCCCTTCCAATTTGGTTTTTTAATTCAATTATGAACTCTTTTAATTTTTTACACACCTCATCTTTACTTTTTAAGAAATAAACAGTCTTATAATTAGAACAACCATCCTTTAAGAGAAACATATATTTTGAACCAGGAAGCGATAACTTCTCCATCGGACCACACAAATCCATATGAATAATTTCACCTATCTTGTCTGATCTCGATAAGCTCATTTTAAAAGTTTCTCTATGTTGTTTTAACTGCAAAACTTTGAGGTTTCTTTTACGACAATATTGTTCTGCTCTAAAACCTTTTTAATTTGTCTAAAGGTCTGATGTGCCACCAGTTTAAATTATGTTCTTCCTTTGCCAATAAGCAACTACAGTGTGTTAATTAATTATCGTACTCGACGTCATCATTGCAAGTATGCAACCAACATCACGGTATTGGTATTGCAATACGCGATTTGCGTATTGCGCTGTGATATTGGTTGCATACTTGCAATGATGACGTCGGGTACAATAATTAATTAACACACTGTATCTCTCTCCAATAAATTTTTATCTATTTTAAAAATCATTTTAAACAGCTTACGTTTAGCAATCGTGCATGCGTTTCCGCTCTTCAATATGAACTCTGCCTTGTTAGGCTCTGATCGTTGAGTAATTCCCTTATCTAGCGCACTTCCTTGTAAGAATAAGTTAATCTTCACATCAGGAACATATAACACATCTTGAAGTGTAACTGGTTGAAACCTTTTTCCATTATAGTTCCCATTCCAATACTCTTCATTGCTGTCCCATCACCAATTTTTATTGTTTTGTGACTTTGTAATGATACATATCGATCACACAAATCCAACTTATTACACATATGGTGTGACGCACCACTGTCTAAGTACCAATCAGTGTTTATTAATGCTTCACAATGCAATCAGCGCTAAACCATCTTGTTTCTCACCTTGGTTTTGTTTTCTTTCATAGTTTTCACTTTCTCTTTTTCTTCTTTGGTAACACTCCTTCATTCTGTGCCCTTTTTTCTTACAATAGAAACATTCAATTGCCCTCCTACATTGAGCCTTTAGGTGCTCTTCTTTACCACAGGTAAAACATTTCTTTCTTCGCTACTAAAGCTACAGAATTATCTTCTTTTCCTACTCTTTGTTCTTCTGTTAGTAGTCTCGATATTAAATTATTTAAATTCTGCTCATCACTTGGTACACTTTCCCATGCTGATATAAAATATTTGAATTTTTCCGGCAACGCCATTATTAACTTCGTCATTACCATTTTTTCTGGAACTTCTTCTCTTTGCTGTTTCATTTTCGCACAAAGGTTAGTAACTTTTGTTACAAAATCATTTATATTTCTTTCTTCAAATTATAAAACTGCTCAGTTAACAAATGCAAACCAATTATTGATTTTCTGTCGTAGATTTTTTTCCAGTTTTTTCCACATCTTGTATGCAGTTGAACATTGAATAATGTACGAAAGTGGAGTTTCTTCCATACGAGTTATCAAAACCTCTTATGCTTTTGCATCATTCAGTTGCCATGCAGCCAACTTTTTATCGTCTTCCGGCTTCTTTTCGGTTCCACTTGCGGTATTAAATAACCATTTCGTCATTAAAACAACTTTTATTTGATATTTCCATACATTCCAGTTTTTATCGTTTAATTTAATAAACGGCCCAACGACACCACAACAAATATTCAACAGTATTCCAGCCAAAATGGCGGTTTGACAGCTTGTCAGTGCATGTTACCACTTATTTACAAAAATAATGCCGTCTTGTTGCCTTTGGAGTTGCAAAAATAGCAGTAAGAAGGGCTTTCGACTCTTCGAAGTACCACGAGAGAAAAAAAGGAAATTTGGCATAATTTTATGAACAGAACATGGCTTTAAATTTCCCGCTTGACTTTCGAGCCAAAATGGCGGCAAACCGCGGTACTTTGATAATCTAGGGACTTTATTTTTAAACAATTATTCACCCCATCTAGCGGTTATGAATACCATTACATGAAATTATTATATTTTTCGGAAAATTATTGTATATCACGGAAAAGAAAGTTTAATTAAACCGGAAAGTACGTTATTAACCATTCAAACTGTTTGTAAAATATTTTTCTAGTGAATTTTATTATTTCAAATTAATCAGCAAATGAAGGTTTGACAGATGACATAACC